CAAAATGTGACTTTCCTGGGGTCCAGTGGCTCAGGTTGATGGGAGTCAGAGTTCCCACTCTGACTCCCTCTTCTTCCTCCCGCGCAGCTCCCTTTGGCTGATGGGAGGAATGCCTGGGTCAGTCACTTCCTCCCAGCGTCTGACATCGTCAGAGGGGGCCTGGTCGCGCTGTTACCGGACCCACTCTGATGATGATATTTTTTTCCATCACCCGATGGGCCCCTTCACGTGCAGCGGGCACCCGGTCGCAAGGGTTCACCCCATGCAAACCGCGGTATGTACGCCACTGACCATCTGATAGAAATAGCTGAGTTTCACTTGGTTGCTTTGGCGGAAAAGCTTCTAGTGGCTGTAAGAGTGACTGCCACTAGAGACATTTAACCCCTTAATGACACATGACATGTGTGACATGTTATGATTCCCTTTTATTCCAGAAGTTTGGTCCTTAAGGGGTTAAACTCTGCAATGTAAACATATTCAGTCCTGCAGAATTTCAATGTTTTACAGTGCAGGATTAAAACAGGGGGAGGAATGGGGGACGGAAGCACCCAGACCACTTTATTGAGATGAAGTGGTCTGGGTGCCTATACAGACACTCCTCACTTACCGACCTGATCGTAGAACGAATTGGTTGGTAAGTGAGGAGTTAAAGGATTCCCTGCTCTGGTGCATTCGTCTATGTTCGGGGAAACTTCCCCGAACATAGACAAGCGCACCAGAGCAGGGAATCCCTCTAATATATGCTTGGTGAAACTTTTCCCGAACATAGATTAGAGGGATTCCCTGCTCTCGTGCGTTTGTCTATGTTTGGGGAAGTTTCCCCGAACATAGACATGCGCACCAGAGCAGGGAATCCCCACGATCACTCACACTTACACCTAGTCGTAAGTGCGAGTGGTCATAAAGCAGGTAGGTCTCTAAATGAGGATCACCTGTAGTGATAGTGTTCCTTTAAAAGACCACTAAAGTTACCTTAACCACTTCATCTCATTGAGCTTGTCTGGGTGCAGTGGCCATGTTGTTTTAACTCTACAATAGGGATGTGCATGGGGAAAAGTTTCGGTTTGTTTCAGCATTCCGAAATTCGGGACTTTGGCAATTTAGAACTTCGGCAGGTCGGAAATTCAGCAATTTCAGAACTTCGGGACTTTCGGCAATTCAGCTATTCGGACATTTGGATGTATGAATTGCCCGAAATTCGGCCGAATTAACATTCGGAACAAAACTAATTGCACATGTCTACTCTGCAATATAAAACATACAGAAACTGCAATCTTTACATTGCAGGGTTAAACACACCTCTAATGGCGGTCTTCCTGACAGCCACTACAAGCACTTCCTCTACAACAATGTGATCAAATGCACTGAATTCAATGCTTTTCTTGTCACCTGTCTTCACCAAATGCTACACAGACATATAACCCCCCAATTATATCCTCCCCACTAAATGCCACATTTATAGCTTTTTGCCTCCAATCAACATTTCCTCCTTCATTCGCAGGACTTTTGAATGTAAGATGCCTTAACCCAGACACTGTCCATCATTCTCATGTCTTTTCTTACTGTACATAAAAAATATATTACTTGCATTTAATTGTTTGTTTTATATTAAGTATCTACTCAAAAACAAGCTTGTGGCATACTGTAAGGTTACCTACATAAGGCTGCACCTCTTCTAACCTGCACCCATCCTGACACTATGTGTCAATATTATTGCATTATGACTGATGGCATGCACCCTTCTCACGCTGATACTGATGCCGCATCAAACTTTGGTGTGATTTCTGATGCTGAGCGCTCCGTTCCTGTGTCATTTTTCTAAGAATACAGTCATGCATCATTTTTGTTATTCCTGCAACACTGCACGTGTATGTTCTGGGCGTGCAGAACTTTCGCAGGACTTTGTTAGATATATATTCTTCCATCTCCGCATTCCTTGATTAGCTATATATACTTCCAGCTTATGCTCCTTGCGCTTTTGTGGTTCCATCGTGGTCCCAATATAGTGTTTTACTTTGGTTTGATGTCTTGATTTTCTGACCTGGCTCTCCATTGACTATTCTGATCTCTGGCCCCTTTTCTGGCTCTGTTATCTCTTTTGTCTAATCTTTGACTTTGGCTTTTACATGGTTATTATATTCCTCTGTTTCACGTTCAACCGGGTCACCCCTACAGACCTGTAATACTGATTTACTCAGTGTGGGTTCATACTCTGCGTGTTGGGGATAGAATCTGTGACACATGATTACATTCACTGCATTTTTAAAGAATATTAATTTACAAGATGACAAACTGATTGCTCCTAATGTTAAAAAAAGAGTAGGATTATATCATCTGGACTCTGCCATTGTCTACCATCCCTGAACTCATCATGTGGCTCTTAATATACTTTTCTTTTTTGTCTTTCCATCATCCTTACCCATCTATTTATCGTTCCAGCCCCCTTCTCCTCTTGGGTGTCTCTCCATCCCTCCTTCCTACGCCTGGTACGTCTCTCCACTTACACATATAGATATGGATAATGGAAACATAATAAAGACACCACATTTTTCTTTAGTAATACAAGAAACTCTCTTGCTGTCTTTCAGCTTCTTTCAGGTGATGGTGACAAGTAACCCCCTCCACCTCTCCCCCCTATTTATCAGAGATGATACTCTTGAGAGTCTGAGTGGATTGTTCATTAACCTTGTATTAACCTTGTGTGAGCTTAACTCCAATACATGGTCACTGCGTTCTGTTCATTAGGAGTTCTTGAGATCGACACGCAGGAGTTTTTAAATTAACATCAACAATGCTAGTAAATTGTTATTTTTATATAATAATGTGCATTTTTATACGTATAAATTTTTAAACAGATTCATAACCCACTCAAGCACGAATTTGTACGTCCATATATATGTTATATTTTGTATTGTGAAGCTCCACTTCTCTCAAACACATGTATGATTTTCTGCACTATGTAGTCCCCTTACCCCAAGATGATGATTATTATGACTACAATGCATTTGCTCACATTTAGCTTTCTGTTTCTAAGTTTTTTCAAGCAGGCTTGGAAATGCCGTATACCTCATAGGGTATTCCATTTTTTTTTAAATTGCCTCTTTAAATAAGAATTGATCTAAAGAGGATGTATTCACTTATTTATTATTATTCTTATTATAGTTTCTTGTGTGAATATCATCTATTGTATTATGGCTTATTTTTAGTCTCCTATGTGTAGGTTTCTTTACTTGTTTTTAACATTATTTGTTTTTAAATTAAATGTCTAAATGTATTACAATGAAAAACGTTGTAAATGAAAAATGCACTATAAACACAGATGTGGGGTCTCTACATGACTACCAGAAAAGTGTACCCTAGAAGACACGCCATTAACTGCACTTTATTATTATATGTACTGTATGGGCTTATATGTGAGAAATACCTTGCTAGGAATTGCATGGATAATATGTTAATGAGGCATTATGAAGTAGCCAATGATGACTGGAGACTTTGCCCTTATATGCCCATCTCCAATATGGAGTCATTAGCACGTTCTGAGGAAGCCACAATTAAACGGCGAAACGCATTGATGTCATCGAGAGGGGCGGAGCTTGCGGATCTGAAGTGTACGGTGGGAAAAGTAAACAGAACTGAACCTGTTGGAAAGACGTGGCGAAATGCCGCCAGCAGTACCAGAGAACTTTACCCTGCTTCCAGAGACGCTTGCAGCCTACCCACATTGAGCCTGATTAGTGAGTAACGGTATAAGCCGTGTTTACTCTCGTAAGAGGCAGAGTTTTTATTTATTTATTTCTGTCATGCATGTCTGTTTTTAATAAATTATAAGTATTATACCATTTAGAACATATACCATTTAAAAAAATATTATTCCCCACTCATAATTCTTATGAATGGTACTACTTGTATAAGGAATTTTGATAACTTCATACATGCTCTGGATCAACCCACTATAAGAGCAATCACTGTTTATGGTATGATTTTTAGAGTCTGTTAAAACAACCTATACTATTTGTCCTTCTGGTTTTCTTTTTACATGTTCAATGCAATTTAAACAAACGGCACCTAGTGGAGATACAAAATACGGTTGTGTATATTCATATTACATTATCTAATACTGCTCCACTTATTACCAGATTATCATTTTGTGCTATATAGTTGAATTGGGATTGCACCCAAGTGTGTAGCAGTTATAAATTTAGCAAGCCATAGGAGAGCTTCTATCTAACTGTCCTTAATATATCGACTTTCTAGCGTCCAAATTTCTTTATCACTATTAATTATGTCTTGAATTCTGTAATTATTATCCATCACCTTCTTTATAAGAATACTTGTTTTGCCTTTAATGAAAAATCAATCAAGTTGTGCTCCTCTCAGTCACTGATTCATTTTCCTAACTCTTACACAACTTACAGGATTATTCACTAAAGAGAGAATTCTCATGAATTCAAAGTAAATTCAAAATTTAGGTCAAAACAGAAGAAGTACAAAACCTCTGTAAGTCAATTCAGTTTTCATTAAGGCTATTTTGGCCTTTAATTTGACAATTCTCATTGACGCTGTGGCAGGCTTATGCAATGTATGATCATGTACTGTAAATAAACCTCCATTATTTTGCCTAGGTGAGGTGCTTTAACCGCTTAAGGACACATGACGTGTGTGACATGTCATGATTCCCTTTTATTCCAGAAGTTTGGTCCTTAAGGGGTTAAAAAAACAAAAACAAAAACAAAAAAAAACCCCGTAAAATCTGTAAGCATTGAAATTGCCATTTAGGGAATGAGTGAGTGCGCTGGATCTTGTATATTATATTAAATCGTATTTTGTTTCTCTTCTGTATGCTTTATCTAAACTGACTACCAAGTGAAGAGGACAGACCATATAATAAAGACTGACAAAGAGCTAAGATGAACACACTCACTTGCATATTTGCCTGCATGATTCACTGCTTTTGTGGTTGGGGGCATTGCCCACTCCCCATATTACTCAATATTGTCTCTGCCAAAGTTGGAAGGTCTTCTCTAGGGATTAGTAATTCAGACTACATAGTAATGCATTTGGTACGGATATAGGATGAATTCAAGAAGTTACACGAATTACACATTTTAGCCTCCGTGAACAAAATAATACTTACTGCATGTTATGAGAACATCAATTATACTTAGATATATGATAATATTTAATTTGTATTGATATGTAGAACATCAAATCGTATAAACGATCTTGCATCCTGTTTAATATAAAATGTGAACTATTATTAGTATCTTAAATTCAGTGTAACAAAAATGAATTACATCCAGATATATTTTAGAGTTTTGAAATAATTAAAAATATATTTACCAGGCAAACTGCGGAAAAAAAGTGTAAAAAAGAGTTAAAGTATCAATAGGCTAATCTTACACATCATAAAAACAATCAATTCTCACCCTGCAGAGAAAAAAAAAGTCTTCAAAAATATTAACTTCTCACTATCTATAGATTTTCTATATAGTATTTTAAAACTGTCTCATCTTTATTCTTTGGTGTAAAACATGTAATATGTTAATATAAATCAATTAATCTTTCATTTACATTTATATACATTAAACAGATATTTACAGTAAATATTTTAACTCATTTTCTATTTTCTGGTGGGTTAAAAAAAAAAAACCAGTCCGGTAGATCCCAGAGAAGTTCAAATATAAAAGGAGCAATATTTAGGTAGCGACACAATACTGTACAAAATAAATCCTGATATTTCAACACTGCTTAAAAATGGCATTTGTGGAAAGTTTCACAACAGCAATAAGGTACAGACAAAACATAGCTTAATATTTCTGTAAACTAATTAAGCTCCAGCAATATATTAACAGAATGGTGTCTGTGGACCTAAAGTGCAATTACTGTTGTGCAGTCACATAAGGCAAGGTTGAGCTGGGCGAAGTTCAAAGACCAAACTTCAAACACAATTGTCCGACTGTTTAAAAGAAGACCAAAGGAAGAGAGGGAAGGGGAAGGAAGGGATATGAATGACAATGGGGCAACAGTTCTCAGGCATCCAAGTGCGTCAAGTAAACAAATGTAATTTCTTCAAAGAAATAGATATCCTTGGTCCCATAATATCCAAATTTAACAGCAAAAGAATTTGTTGCTCCTTATTTTTAGACTAGAAGGTCCAAATGCAGAATAGTACAAATAAACACAAGTACAACATTGGAAAGCCAGTAAAGGCGAGTGTGCTCAGTTGCAGAATTCCTGTTCTGGGCTTTTTGATGTCCTTCCAGGGTCCCCTCAATTAACAGAGAGGAGGAGGCACATTGGACAAGGGGCACTTGGTAAGAGGTCGCTCTCCGTTCAGGTCTATCTGGGCTGGAGCCATCGCTTGGTCTTTGGCCATTATAGAGAAAGTAAACTCCTCGAGTATCTTGCTCCATTCTAAAGAGCTCATATTCTGTGTGTGGTAGTCTTATTCCCAGTGCTACGCAACCATTGGTGTGTGTGACATCCTGCTCAATACCAACTTTCCACGAACCCTCCGGCCCACACTCATCCCCATTGAAGAAATTTAATAAGGAAGCAGTGGCAGAATCCATGGGGGTTACTTTCATGTGATTTACTGCAAGAAAAACGAAATACACACTCTGATGATTTGATAGGTGAACTAAGGACTACATAAAGTGGTTTTGTAAAAATGTACAGTTTACTAATTCAAGAATAACATTGTCACAACGCGCTTACTACAGATAGCAAAAATATTCAACTAGCGATTTCTTTATAGGCAATGCCATATACACTGGAGCTAAAAACTGTATAGCTATTTTGTATCAAAGAATATGGAACTTAATACATAAACAAACAAACATTTAATTGACAAAAAATAAGCTATTTTTTTTAAATTATATATTCTACACATATAGTAAACCATGATAAATAGCTTGTTTTTCCTTGTGAGATAGGGTCAGTTTACCAAGACCCAAAATAGCCACTCTAAAATAAAAATAATTTTAGGTTGAATTCAAAGTGGATTAGGTTGAATTCAAAGTGGATTTCAAATTAAGACCAAATTAGCTAAAATGGAAACATAGCGGACTCAAAGCATTTTTGGTAGTGAAATTCACTTGGAATTCTTACTTTAGTGATTAACCCTGTAATTACAGGATAAGTACAGGGGGGTGGGGGTCCTACAGTAAGTTAGGTGGCTATGTCATTTCTTGGTTTGGTGAAAATTTACTACAGAAAGTGGTAAAACCTAAAACCTGGACTAGAGCAGAAACTTGAAATGTATCTTTTATTTGTATTTATTTATAATTTTATAGTTTTTGCCCCTTTTGATCTATATAATGCACTAATGCAAGAATGGAGCAGATCCAGCATGATTTAACCTTTAATGCTCCCTCCCCCCCACTCACCCCATAACATTTGATTTTTCTTATGAATGCTTATCTTTTGACTAAATTCAATCCCGATAATGTTGGAATGCAATACCAAAACAATGGTCATGCCGGGGGATTCATACCAGATGCAACATGTTTGATGAAGAATTAATAGGTAAGGCGATACACATTTTCTGTTTTATGAGACAGAGAATCAATGGCATCATAGAATAAAAAATAAAAAAATGAAATTCACTGTACGATGTTAGCAACTTACCTTTGAACACAAATTCTGTCCCACCCATGACTTTAGTGGAGTGTAATCCCCTGCTGTAACGGCCTTTGGCATAAATGGTGAAAGTAGGATGCTTGCAAATGGGGTCTGAAAAATGGTAGTAAAATCCTTCCCAGGTGTGGTTGCTGTCATGGAAAATAAAGTGTCTGGTTAAGAACAAGACCGCAGGACGCACTTCACACCTCTGGCTGACCCACTGTCCGTTCAGTCTGACTGTCAAGTCAGCTTTGGGAGGCAATATTGGAGGGTGGTATTCGTCTGAGTGGATAATGATTTTGCAGGCAACGCATGACTGATCGTGGTTCTGAAACAGAAACATTAACATGTTTTTTTTCAGCAGTCTTTTAAATAACAGAATAGGACAAGCCGTTACAAAATGAAATTTCTACTATTTCAGAACTTTTGAAGATTTCACCTTGGAAATCATGTTGTTGGGAATTTCATCACAATTTCCATTTTTTTGCATTAACAATCACCATGGTAGGAGACGGTCACGAATATATATATAAATAATCGAAAGATGGACCGCACTTCAGGGACTTCAGAGAGATCATAGATAAAACTTAACTTTTATTACATCAGAACGTACTTGGAAACCAGAGAATATCTGAATGTATCTTTCCTGGTTAAATACTTTGTTTTATTTTTATCATCTTATCCTAAAATATGTTGATATTTCAGCTTCACATATGGAGCATTAGTCAGGACAACAAACTGAAACATCTCTGAAGTCCCCGGAGTGCGGTCCATCCTTTGATCCTATGTTCATTGTGCCGGACCTGCACTGGGCATTAATGTTTTTACCTGGTCATGTGGATATGTGTGTATATATATGATTGAGATATATATATATATATATATATATATATATAAAATCATATATACATACATACCAATAGAGTTGTGGTGGGAAAAAAAGTTGGTAGGTACAAGTAACCAACCTGATGCTGATGAGCTGCATTAAAAAAGAAACAGCTGTCCATGAGTGGTTCACTGGCTTTGCTCTTCTTCCGGAGTTGTGTTTCAAAGCTGTTGTATACAGCAGACACATACTCCAAGGAATCCATGTAAAAAGTGGAATTATGAGGAAAGAAATTGGTTCTTTGTTGAGCTCATTTGCATACACTTACCCATAATCCCTTGCAGTAGTGAGAGCACTGTTAAAGTGAGATTTCTTTGGGAAATGTAAGTCTTATTGCTTGACTGGTGTGTGTGTTTGTGTTTACCAATGTATTAACTATATATATATATATATATATATATATATACACACACACACACACAGATATAAAATGTATTTATATTTTTTAATACATACACGATATGCAATGCCCAGTACAGTCAAATGGAAATGTGCTATAAAATATACAAGTCGTGCATCATCCACAATAGCTATATCAGCAATATATTTTATTCTGTACAAACTACACAAGTAGATAACTATGCAGTATTCATAACATTCTACTCATGATCTGGAAAGGTTAAAGCAGAAGTAAAGGGACTATAAGTGTTTGATGTCGTATCAAAGCGTCGTATCAAAGTGCTCTTTGATCTCGATCAGACTAATGTAGAGATTTTTTCATGGAGGAAATATTTGCCTGCACAGATCATTTTTTTGTTGCAGCCTTCTGATACGTTTCACTTTTTTTACAGTACATAATAATGTATCCTCCAATTTAAAAAATAAAACATTTGTTTTTTTTATCCGATCAAGGGAGATTGTATGCTGATAAACAAGCATTAACGATTAATTAAAAAGTTATTTTGTGATATTCACCAATTTTCTAGATTTTTTTTTTTAAGGCATTAAAACTGAAATTGTGTCACCTATTTTTCTTCTGCAAACATTTTGAATGTTGTAATTGACCATGATTGTTCTGTGAAGTACCATGAAAGAATTTTAGAATTCTCACAAATTGTTACCACACTGCACATATGTGAGCATGTGGATGAGTGATTCACATTTGAGCAGTGTATCTGATAACATGGTTTAATGCCATCAATGCAGTGCCCCGAGGGGTGAAATGTGGATCTAATTCTAGCAATGGCTTTGTCTCAGTAAGGGAATCTTCTTTTTCTACTCAGACTATGGATGGGAGTGCCCCTTTCAGCAACAATCTGTATTTTAAAGAGCACGTATCACTGGTATGCATGAAACCGGCTTGTCAATCTGTGATAAAGATTTGAATGGAATGTGTCCTCTGTGAAGTTTTGGTGGCAGTAATGGATAAGTAAAGGTACACAAAGTTCCAGATTTGGGATCAGAATATCTTATAGAAGGGAAACGTGTCATATGCACTACATGGAGCTTATATACTGAGCAACTATTTGTGATCAGTTACCATAGCGTGCCTCGAGATATTGAACTGGCAATTGCATGTGTGAAGCTAATCTCCAGTCCAGTCTATTGGCACACCACCATAGATAGCAACAACCTGCCAGGTTTACTGAAAGTCTGCTCTTAGAAGCAAAGTGTCAGTAATTTGTTTTCAGTGATGGGTCCTCTTTGACGTTATACTGTGTTATCAGTGGAGATATATTACTACCAGGTGCCTTATGAAGGGGCATTGTCAATCCTAGATAAAAACAAACTGGTGCTACCCTGTGTAGGCCATTTGTAACTTGAATGGCTGTTAAAATTATGCTTTTCTCCATTTTCTTTTCAAATAATGTTTATAAAAAAATTTGAAAAAAACTTGGTAAAAACAACCGGGGAAATAAAAAAAGTCAAAATAATTTCTCCATCCATAAAAATATACATAAGAAGATTTACAAAATTTAAATTTCATTTCTGAAACAAAACTACTGTTTAATTATCCCCCAACATGCCTCTGCACAAATTTGGGACTGGAGGGGTAGAATGGAAATAGCACCTGGGGGCTTGCTGTGCAATTGACGTGCAAGGAGAAATGTCTGAATGAAACGGTGACATTTCAGATATACGGTAATCTGAAAACTAAATGATTGAGCCAGGCAAAACACATGCACACAGTACTACACAAGGGGCCATGTAATATTTTTGCACAGACAAAATCCTAAAAAAAAAAGTGCAACACAAGTGCATTATTAAGTTCCCTTGTGCTTTTGTTTTAGTGGGGATTTCCTCTAAAGTCCCTGACAGGTGAGAAAACAGAGCAATATACTAGGATGTCAGAGCAAATCGTATTTGGGACACTTGATCCCCATCAGAGTCATGTGCTTGATTTAATATTGTTGGATAAGCTTTTCATATTATGTAATAATTTTAGATAAACTTTTAAAATGAGTTAACATTATAAAAAATATTTAAAGGAAAACTATAGTGCCAGGAAAACAAAGTTGTTTTTCTGGCACTCTAGCTACATATAGTGCCCCCCTCCATCAAGCCCCCTTCCTGCCCAAATGTTGCAGAAGGGATTAAAAAACCCTCCTGTCACTTACCAGAGTCCAGCAATGATGTCCCTCTGCGCTGGCTCGGTTAGCACCTGACTTAGAATCTGTAAGTCAATGGGATTTATTCCCTATGCAATGGTTTGTGAAAAAATAACTAGATAGTGTTTCTTAGGCTAAAACAAACATTCTTCAGCTTTTTCCACCTTGGTTATTTTGGTGCAAAATGTCTAGATAAGTGAATAAGCCCCCAGGCCTCCACTCTCAATGTTATTCCTGTACATATTTCTGTCTTTTAGGCAATGAGATCTGATAGGTGACATGCTAAACCAGTTAGGCAGGTCACATCAGAATTCCTTAGCTTGTTCCATGGAGTGCTTTTTTTTTAGATCAATTCAAAAATATATTGTATAGTTAGTTGCTGAATTGCAAATTAATTATTTACTTATAGCTGTACTGACTGCATATATAGTAAGGTTTTTATGTACTTTGGCAATCACCAATGAAATGCTAGTTCAGTGCTCTAAATGTTGTACTCTCTCATAGAATTACTGCACTATATATAGCTTAAAACCTTCTACAAAAATATAGCACTTTTGAGCTAATTTAATAAGCTAAACAAAACAACATTAAAAAAATTATATACACAAAATTATAATATATTTAAAAAAAAAATAGATTTAAAACAACCAAAACAAATTATATAATATATTTAAAAAAAATAAAGAACCCCACTAATTTTAGTAAATATCACCTACATATCCCAAGGCAAACCTTAAAAAGGTATTGTTTCTGGCATAACAACTCTAAAAGATTGTTTTTTTTTTTTTACAGGTTTCCCAGAATACAATGCTGAATATGTAATGAGCATATTATATATTATATTGCTGGTAGATTTCAGACTTTCCTCAAACATTTCTTCAGGTTCTATCAGCAATTAAATGATAAATTTCAAACACAACAGTTTACACCAGTTTGTAGCAATGCCACCCACAGCACAGTATGGCGCACTTTTGATCCAGTGGGGTAAGCCTAACTGGCAGTGTCTAGCTCCGTATTATTAAATGTGATTAAAAACTCACCTTCATATCCAAAGACAAACCTAAGCAATAGAATTTTAATATATACAATATAGATAATAGAAAGCAGGAAGAGATTAACTTCAACACAGGCAACACAGCTACCTGACAATACAGTAAATACAGACAACAGCTAGATTACCCTTTAGGCGACCAAGGCAGCCGACTCGCGTCTGGGCTCAGACAAGAGTCCATTGTGGTTTGTTCCAATTTCAGGTACAGACCATTTGAAACTCCGTCCCTGGTGCTTCTCGATGACTCAGTGCACCACAGTCTGTGCTCTGAATCATTGAAGGAGTTCTGGGACTGTGAGTGTGTTCTTATATAGAGAGAGAGACCCAATCTGGCACCTTACCTAGGGCCGTGTCAACCTTAATTAAGTTTTGGAGGCAGTAACAAGCAGAGCCGTCTTTAATTTTGATTGGACCCTGGGCAAGCATTTACTTGGGCCCCCTGACTACATATAGATACACACAAATACACTACCTGACACACATGCAGATACACACTGACCGCATATAGATACACACAAGAACATACAAATACACACAGACTACATATAGATACACTGACACACAGATACACAACCTGACACACATGCAGATACAAACACTGACATACATGCAGATACAAAGGTACACACACTGACTACATATAGATACACCGACACACACACTGACACACATACAGACACACAGATACACAACCTGACACACATGCAGATATACAGATACAAACACTGACACATACAGATACACACTGACTATATACAGATACAAACACAAACGGACAACATACAGATACAGAGACACATTCTGACAGAGACACACACAGACAGCCATACTGAAACACACATACACACAGACATACAGAACCACATGGACACTGACAGACTCACACATAGACATACCGACACACTGGCAGACATACAGACATTCTGGCACACATACACACAGACAGACATACTGAAACACACAGACACTGACAGACGTACACACATACAGACATTTTGACACTCACAGACAGCCATACTGAAACACACATACACACAGACATACAGAACCACACGGACACTGACAGACTCACACATAGACATACCGACACACTGACAGACATACAGACATTCTGGCACACATACACACAGACAGACATACTGAAACACACAGACACTGACAGATGTACACACATACAGACATTTTTACACTCACAGACAGCCATACTGAAACACACATACACACAGACATACAGAACCACACAGGCACTGACAGACAGACACACACACAGACATACTGACAGACATACTGGCACATATACACACAGACAGACAGATATACTGAAACACACTGACAGACATATTGACAAACACATACAGAACCACAAGGACACTGACAGACTCACACAGACATACTGACACACTGACAGACATTCTGGCACACGTACACACAGACAGACATACTGAAACAAACATACACACAGACACTGACAGACATACACACATACAGACATTTTGACACTCACAGACAGCCATACTGAAACACACATACACACATACATACTGAACCACACAGACACTGACAGACTCACACACACAGACATACTGACACACTGACAGACATACTGGCACAAATACACCGACAGACATACTGGCACATATACACAGACAGACAGACATACTAAAACACACATACACGCAGACACTGACAGACATATTGACAAACACAGACATACAGAACCACACGGACACTGACAGACATTCTGGAAAACATACACACAGACATACTAAAACACACATACACACATACACACAGACAAACAGATACACTGACAGACATACTGGCACACTAACAGACATACGCACATACACACACACACACACAGACACTCATGCAAAATTTGATAACCACCCTCCAGTTTCTTACCTTTTCCTGGATGGTGGCTTCCCTGGGGTCCAGTGGGGTGGCTGGGAGTTAAGCTCTCCCGGCCTGGCCCCCTCCTGAACAGCTGGTCCGACTTCCTCCCGCGCGGCTCCTGTTTCTGTGGGAGGAAGTGACGCGCGGCTGTCACTTCCTCCCAGTGCTGCCGAAAAGCAAGGGCCCGGTGGCGCTGTTAAAGCGCCACAGCGCCCGACCGGGCCCCTGCTGACACAGGCCCACCGGGTGGCCCTAAGTGCATGGGCCACCCGATGGGCTCCCATAGTTTGCAGGCAGAGGGCAAAAGGAGCAGCTGTCTTGGGCCCCCCGAGCACGGACAGGGCCCGGGGCAGCTGACCCGTTTGCCCCGTGTTAAAGACGGCCCTGGTAACACGGGACCTTGCACCATGACTGGCAGTAACAACTATATAGGCCTAAAGCGGGCAACCCTCAACACTCCAGATGTTGTGGACTACATGTCCCCTGATGCTGAGAAGCAGTAACCGTTCACCATAATCTTTGCTATTAGCAATGGTTGCATGTCAATTTAACAGCCATTACTGGAAACCCTTCTACTACAATATGAAAACTTCTAAAGTACTTTATATATAGTTATGCGAGCTATGAAAGAAAAGTGACATTACAAAGGCCATGTGTTTGTTCTCAGAAAATCTCTAGTATGATTAATAGCAATCCACCCATTTATGTACTATTAAACTATTTTTATCCCAGGCATATATCAAATCATTTTGGCAATGCTCCAGATTTTTATATTCTGTGTTGTAAACCTTCAAAATTGCACTGTCAGACTTGCCACTGAAATGGATGCATTCAACTGCAAAATTATGGGAAGATGACGGACATTGTTACAAAGAACCATAATGCAGTGTTAAAACACAGCTTCTCTCTTTATTTCTCCACTTTTAGGGAGGTTAGTGAGCACTGAAAATGTGAAATTTGATTAATTCTACACTCCTTATAGAGGTCGATGTAACTACCTGTCATTTTAATGCAGAGATAGAAGATGATCGCCATAACCTAATTAATCAGTGACATTGCCCCACTGCTGCTATTGCATTTCAACTAAACTTTCCTTTTCAGAACCAAAAGCTTAGTAAAACAACTTTTTATTTTTTTCCAAATCTGCAAACAAGCGTGAACGGAAAGCACAGTTTTTCCTCCTTACTGAAAGATATGTTGAAATACACCCTGTACAGATAACGGTTTATTCATAAGAGACACGTAGGAAGGCATACACAATAACAAGTCACCCAGCGCATGCATGCTTATTTTTAATATGCAAATACAGACAGAAATGAAGTGCTGCACTGTGTGAGTGTTACAATATTTACAGATGAAAAAAAGAAAAAGGCAGAATTTTGTCCTAATGAGAAAATAAGAAAAAATAGTTCAGTGATGCAAATTTGATTGTTCAGTGGAAAAAAAACAAAACCCCCTTTCAAAACCCCCCACAAAACAGACCTTGTTATTTCATGAAACACAATAATGTCTCTTTATCTGTCTAGCTAATTGATTGCCTCTCCATCCATCCATCGCACACATATAAATCCATATACATTTTATGCACACAGGTAGCTTAAGTGCATTTCATTTCTGTCTTGGCTGAATGCTGTATATTTTTCTAGTTTTGGTTTAGAAGTTTGATTTACCACATTAAAGCCAGATTGCTGCAGGAATTTGGAGCAATGCCAGTTTGTTCAAAGGCTTATTTTGTGGTTATGGCAGCCTTCCGTCACTTTGGCATGTAAACGCGGGTCTTTCATTATCACTTGTTTGCAGCCACAGGTGAAGCCACTAACACGTGTCAAATTATAGGCTGAGGTGGTCATCTTATTACACTGCTCTCTGCACAGATTTTGCTATGATAAGGCATAATGGGTGCTAACTGCACCATATTTACATTTTAGAAGGAAGTTCTACTTTCTTTTTTCCAAATTACTATTTTCAGATGACTGATGATATACATCAGAATCTGTATAAATGCAGATCATTCTACCCTTACCTTTTGTGTCACTCCCTCTAGCATGTAAGCTCATTAAGTGGGGACCTCAACCCCTCTGTTCCTGTGCATTTATCGTTTGGTTACAATTATGTGTTTGTTAGTCCATGCATTGTACAGCGCTGAGAAATTTGTTGGCGCTTTATAAAGAATAATAACAATAAATCGTTCTTTAAAGGCATATTCTATGCATCTTAATCACTACAGCTCAGCATAGTGGTTGTAGTGCAAAGTATGTAAACGTTATATTTTTCTTTGTCATACTGCTTGGGTGCGGTTTTACCAGCACCCAAAGACTACTCCGCCATTTATAATTCCACAATATATCATCAGTTCTACCTAATATCTAGTGTCCAGTACGGGGTGGTTTATCAGAAATTGCCTGTGTCAAGTAATTAGTCTATCATGTTATGATTGGCTGTTGACATCACATGCTCTCTGCAGCTATTTGTAACTGTTAATGAAGATTTTTTTTTTTTTTTAAATCTTTAGGTTTTATTGTAATGAGATTGACAAGAGAGTAGGGCTCGCAGGCCTTCGTGAAATACATTCGTAAAGGTCTAATACAGATACATTGTGAAACATTTTGAATGCTGACGATTAAACTTTGAAACAGTGCTTGAATACATTGGTATTGCACATAAAGATAGCATAGATGCATAGATTCCTGCCACAAGGATGTATCTATTCATTCGAATTGTGTCCTGCTTAGAGACGTGCATTGTAAGTTTTTCGTGATAGACTGGTTGTATGTCCCCATCCAGTTATGGGGTTAATATATCCTGTAGTAGGAAGGTTTGTGAGGGAGAGAAGTTAAGAGAGTTTGGGAAAGGAGAGGGAAAGAAAAGTTAGTTGATAGAAGAAGGTCTGCCCCCAGTTCTGGTGTTGTGTGTCTTTTGTTTTCTGTTTTAATGTATTTGTTTTTTATTATTATTATTATTATTATATGCCCTTTTTGTGTTCGTTTCAGAGCTGCAGGGGTCAACCTTTCCCAACCCATCATTAAACTTTTAACAGGACGCGCTGGTCCATCTTGCATTAAAATCACAATAATAGAGTCTCAGGCACGCATGGTAACAGTCGTGTAGTTATGTGAATATCGACTGGTATCTTTCAGATGCAGGTGCTCAAGCATGTATAAACGTGCCTGAGCGGTATCCTATGGTGGAGTTTCACTAATCCCTGCATAGAACCGTAGGTCCAGTTATGTCCCTTCATGGGTCCACCGTTCGCCACCCTCCTCCCATGAGCACATGTTCCTGTTGTTACAAGTGGCATTGCAGTACCCAGTGTATGTGTGGAAGCGTCCAGTGGGACATTTACGTCTAGTGTGCGTGAGGGGGACGTTAGCTATCGTTTTGTGGTACGCACATGCTAATTACAAGAAGTGTATCAGGTGACCGGTGTGTGCCTTATGTTAAAGAATGCCAATGTGAAGAGTTAAGGGGGAAGACAGTAGCCCCTCTCGCCCCATATGGAGGCTGGCTCATCACAGTAGGAGAAGGTGCAAAGGTGCGAGGGAGGGAAAGTAGGGTAAAGAAGTAGCAGAGGTTAGGTGGTATGCGTTGGCCCCGCCCCGCGGAGCCCGGGATCTCCCCACAGGATCTTCACGATGATCGCTCTCATCTCTGTTCAGCATTCAGCAGGTGTCGTAATATGTTTTTTTTGTACGAGGATACCGACATCGGTGTTATGGCCAACGCTGTAGGAGGGCCAACGCTACCGTCCACTCAGTCTCTCAGTTATTTTCTGTCTGATCAGTTCCCAACAAGGGAGGATGGCACGGCATTCCCACCAGATAGGTATTATTGTTCCCTTCTCCTCTTAACATCTACAAAACGTAGGGGGAGTCATCAGGAAAATTCTGTGGAGAAGGACTGGTGTCCTATACCAGAGTGCAATCAGTTTATAATTTGTTTCTTGGTATTGCGAACTAATTGAGCTTTTATGTTGCCAGAGTAGTACGTTGTCCCACTGTTGGGATGTGAAAGTTGTATCTAGGAGTTCCTCCCATTGCCTGAGAAAGGTGGCGTTCGATGTTAAGTGTCCTGTCAGGAGGTATTGGTATAGTGTTGAAATCGCCTTCTCAATTGGTGTGCCCCTTTCGCAACAGTCCTCGAACTAGGTTCTGCTCCTATGCAGGTGTTCTTTATTCCGCTTGGTATTATAATAAATGCTTCACTTGCATATATCGGAGTACAGCCAGGGGGGTCCGGGGCTTTCCCTCTAGCAAGGAGTCCAGGGTCCGTAACACCCCATAAGGGGCCATGCTGTTGGGTGTCCTCTCCCCCACTTGTTGTTCCCTTATGAGTCTCCAACTATGTAGTGTCTGTTCCATCAGCCCCTCCCCAATGCTACGTGTCGATCCCCCTCCCCAGATAGCAGATTGTGGGGGCATCCTGGGGCTCTCTCAGGTGAGTGCCACCCATTGTTTTTGCTGCGGGCTCACATGCCATTTTACTATGTGCTGCCTGATGGTATTTCTTAAAATTAGGCAATGCGAGGCCTCCTCGGTGTCTGGGCAGACAAATTATGTCATGTCGGAGCCTCGACCAATCTCCCCGCCACACATATCGAATGACCACAGATTTTAACGTGGTGAGGAAGGTTGTTGGTATGGCTAGCGGTATCGTCTGGAATGGGTATAGGAGCCTAGGTAAATATTCATTTTTAGTACCGCTATCCATCCATGCCATGATATATGTGGGTACGCCCATTTTTCTAGGTCCGCCAATAACTTCTTCAGTAGGGGGGCGAAATTATGCTGGTATGAATCCTTCGGGTGCGTGGTCACCCAGATTACGAGGTATTTCATTTTTTGAAGGCACCATCGGAACGGGAACAGCGAATCCAAAACCGCATATTCCTCCTCGGGTGTTTGTAACGTTTAGTACCTCGCATTTAGATAGGTTGAGCTTAAAGCCGGAGACCTTACCAAATCGTTCAAATTTCAGCAATAGGCAAGGCATCGTGATCCGAGGGCTCGTTATGAAGAAGAGGAGGTCGTCCGCATAAGCGGCGACCTTATGGTCAGTGCCCTGCCAGGAGAAGCCCCTGATGTCCGGGTGTTGGTGGATCGTCTGGAGCAAGGGTTCCAGGGACACAGCAAACAGTACTGGGGACAGGGGGCATCCCTGCCTCGTTCCGTTGGAGATCCCGAAATCATCTGTGAGGGCCCCCATTGACCCGCACCGTGGCTCTGGGTTTGCTATACAGTGCTTTAGTCCACGTAAGCAGTCTCTGCCGTGCTCCCATTTTATGCAAGGTAGGGAACATGTAAGGCCATTTCACCAGGTCAAATGCTTTTTCAGTGTCTGTGGAGAGCAAGAGGAGGTGTTGCTGTGCTTTCCTTGCCCGGTGTTGTATCGCGAACAGCCTTTAGGTGCTGTCACGTGCCTCTCGTCCAGGTATAAATCTTGTTTGGTCCACGTGTATCAAGGAGGGAAGGACAGATTGGAGCCTAGTAGTGAGCGCCTTTGTGAACAGTTTAGTGTCCACATTCAGCAGTGATATCGGGCGATAACTGCCGCAAACCGTCGGGTCTTTCCCGGGCTTTGGGAGGACAGTTATAGTGGCCACCAGGGATTCCAACCCAAAGCTCCCCCCCTCTGCGACACGGCTTTTGTTAACCACGGTAAGAGTAGCGCTGTAAAGGTCTTGTAATAACCCGTGGAAAACCCGTCGAGGCCTGGCGCCTTTCCCGTTTTAGTTGCCTTCAGAGCCGCTGCAAGCTCCTCCTCAGTAATCTGAGCGTCTAGTGCTTCCACCGTGGCCGATGGTATCATTGTGTCGATAGCATCCTGGAGGTATTCTTGTGCATGGGCTTCTTCAGTTTCCGTTATTCTACGGTCCTCGGTCGATGCGAGGTTGTACAGGGACTGATAGAACGCCTTAAACTCTTCTGCAATATCTGTTGGGAAAGTGGATACAACGCCTGATGAGAGGCGCAACTTGCGAACCTGTGCACGTGACGTTTGACCCTTCAAAAGGCGAGCTAGAAATCTGCCTCCCTTGTTGGCATGGGTGTAGAAGAAGCCTTTGGAATGTTGTAATGAGCGGAGATGATGTTTTGTTAGGAGTTCCCTCAGCTGTCGTCTGGCCTACATCAAGTCCCTATACGTCTCTATGAGTTGAGACCGTTTATGTTGAGCCTCTAGGTCTGATATTAACTTATACACATCCGCCATCTCCCTCATTGCCATCTTTTTGTGCTCTGCTATCCGAATCAACGTGCCCCTGAGGACACTCTTGTGGGCCTCCCAGACTGAAATCGGGGATATGTCTGGCGTTGCGTTACTCCGAAAGTAGAGATCCAACTCCTGGGAAACCTGTTCCCGTGTCCCGGAGGAGAGCTTCATTGAGTCTCCACGTCCATGTGGAGGGTCAAAGGAGTGGGGAATGGAGCTCTACCATAACCATGCTGGGTTAAGACAATAATCGCGAGAGCCCAGTTTGTCTGATAAAGATATAGTTGATGTGGGAGTACCGGTCGTGAAGCGCAGAATAATAGGTGAAGTCCTTCACAGCTGGGTTGAGTGTCCTCCAGCAATCTATAAGGCCTATGTCAGCCAACGCTCTCCGAATAGAGCGTAAAGTAAATTGGGTAATGCTACTGTGTCCTGTCGAGGAGTCCATATCCAGCAGGGCGTTGAATTCCCCCCCCAGTATTAGGGCACCTTCCGAGAAGTCATTCAGTTTGGCTAGCGTTCCCCTCAGGAACTGGGCCTGCCGTTTATTGATGACGTAAACGTTGGCGAAAGTATAGATCTTGCCCGCAATCACCCCTTTCAGGAAGAGATATCGTCCCTGTGGGTCATCAATGCTATCGAGCTTTTGAAATTCCAGGTCCACCGATAATAAAATTGCCACTCCAGCTTTTCTGGCAGATGGATGGTTGCAAAAATGGTTTATCGGGTAGGATTTGTTCTGAAGTTTGGGAGCGGCCCCCGTTCTGAAATGCGTTTCTTGGAACATCGCAACCGAGGTGTGTCTTTTCTTCAGTTTCCGCAGCATGTGGACTCTTCGTTCCAGAATATTCAGTACTCTACAGTTAAGGGTGAGGACAGACAGAGGAGCAGGGCGGTAGGCCATGATAGCCAGGGCGCGGGGTGCCCGTTGGTGGTAGGTTACCCTCCACCCAAGCTCAATTGCCAGTCCACTGTGTGGGCAAACAAAAGCAAGGAGAGTGAAGAAAACAGGGAGTCCACCGGGTCAGTGGGGGAGAGGGGGATAGAGAGGGGAGCAAGAGGCTAGAGAGAGTGGTGAAAGCGAGGGAGGAAAGAGGGGTGAGACACAGAGGTGAAAAAGGTGAACTAGTCAGTAGCCCGGTCCCTCGGGCACTGATGCCGGAGTGAGAGGTACCCCGGAAGGGTCACCCCTGCAAGAGGGGTGTCTCGTGCTACGGCCGGTGGCTCTGGGTACACGTCCCGGTAACCAGACCAGGTGACAGTGCCAAACAGGGTTCCGCCGTTTGAATATGAGCACGAGCTCGGGTTGAGGTGTGTGGCCTAGTACCCAACCAGGTGGTGTCAAGTGTGTAATAAGTAGGTAGGTCCAATCCACATAGTACCCCTTCATTGCTGACCATTCACATTAAATAGAGCGATTCATTACAATTGTAACTATGAAGAAATAACAGAACAACATAACGCTGTGAAACAGAACATAATGATAACATAGCGCGTAAGCGCTCCCTCCCTCTCCCCATTCCCGCACACGTCCAGGACCGTCCTCCCCTAAGCGGTCTACATCTTGTCCCTTACGCAATGCTGTCCCACGTCACCCCCAAGTGTCCCCCTCCAACCCCCCTGCGACCATCTTGTTCACACTGTGACCCTGCTATGTCCTACCTCCCTGGAGCCCCAGCGCCATGCGTACTTCCCCATCCATTCCCCACCTGTCGCAGTTCGCACTATGTGTCCACATCCAGAGTGCACGCCCCACCCATTTTGACAAGATATTAAGGGTGTATATGAGTCAAGGGTGACTTTGTCTTGTGCAGAGGGGGAGGCTGTAGAGTTAATGAAGATTTTTTGTTGAAATGTCAACAGAATAATCTCTATGCAAAAAAACCCCCAAATAAAAACCCAAAACCCATCAACTTTTTTATTTGAAGATGAACATACTGTAGTTTGGTTGGATAAATGGGAATATATTTAGAAATATATATGGAAAGCAGATGTAATAGTTCCTCTTGTACATATGGTATTTTCCAGGTATAAGAAAACTAGATTTTATATTATTTTAGTAGTAGCTTTTTCACAAGGAACATGTATTGGGTGAAAATAAAGTAAATCGATAGATATGAATAAAAATAATACGTTAAACAAAAAGGTTGAGGAGGAGGAGAGTCCCCAGCGCCGAAGGAGCCCGGCGCCAGAGAAAGGGGAGTGTTTAAACCCCTTCCTGCCCCTTCAGCCCGGCGGGAGTGGGACCCTGAGAGTAGTGCCAGGAAAACTAGTTTGTTTTCCTGGCACTATAGTGGTCCTTTAAGGAGAACAATACTTCTACCTGAAGTTTAAAGGGATGGGGGTTTCTTTTTTGGCGACTCACAGTCTGCTTGTAGTTTTGGCAACATTTGACATTGATACTGAAAAAATCTGCATCATAAATAAGGTATGGTAGTGATAAGGTTGAGATAACAGGGACATGTGAGGTCTTATTGTCTGTTGGGCTGCCCACTCATTGTTCTGTGTAGACATTTGCTTTAAGGACAATGATAAACAAAACGTATTCTGTTATGGAATGTTAGCTGGCACACACCTGTTGACTGGAGAGGATTCCTGTCATTAAGATAAAAATAATAATCTCTATATATTAATGTGAATAGAGTGATCTAATTAAAGGAGCACTATAGTGCCTGGAAAACAAACCCGTTTTCCTGGCACTATAGGGTTATTAGACCCCCCTCCCTCGTGGCCCCCCTCCCGCTGGGCTGAAGGGGTTAAAACCTCTTCAGCCACTTACCTTAATCCAGCGCTGGGCTCCCTTGGCACTGGTGACCTCTCCTCCCCTGCCAACGTCAGCTCCCGAGTGGAGCCGAAAACGCATGCGCGGCCAGAGCCGCGTGCGCATTCAAACAACCCATAGGAAAGCGTTACTCAATACTTTCCTATGGGGATCTGAGCTCATGCTGTGTGAGTTTAATGTGATTTTCAAACTGAGAATCGCAGAAGTGCCTCTCCCTGACAGCCACTTGAAGCTGGATTAACCCTGCAGTGTAAACATAGCAGTTTCTCGGAAACTGCTATTTTTTCAGCTGCAGGGTTAAAACTAGGGGGATCTGGAACCCAGACCACTTCATTGATCCGAAGTGGTTTGGGCGCCTATAGTGGTCCTTTAACTTCACCGTACTCACATAACCCAACAAGAACTGTCCTCGACACACAGTTCCAGTGTTTCCTCTAGGGGGAGAAATTAGGTCTAGATTATTATCGACATTTATAGTTAAGGTTAAATCGGTATCCTTAATAAAATAAAAAGTATACAGGGTTGCTTTTAGCATCTATAATTCCATAAAGTGTTGTTTTGTTTTGTTTTGTAAGGAACAAAAACATCTGGTAATGGTATGAAGAATTAAGTTACTTACCTTGGCATTTTGTAGTGGGGGCTGGTAACTAGATGGTCTATAATACAGCCTCTGTGAAGCATCTGTATGAATGTCCCCTAGGAATAGCTCCTCTAATAAATGGTCCAAATTGTGGTGCATATATTGTATCTCTACCCGGATCAGCTGGAGCTCATGCATTGCAAAGTTAAGAGCTTTCACACACCTAAAACCACACTTAAAACCATTTTCTTCTCTCCACAAATCGTAGGCAAGATCTACTTCCAAGAGTTTATCAGCTGGGACAAAGTCGGGGCAGGACTGGTTTACCGTCCAGGTAAGTTTTTCTGCCACTTCTTCAGTGTGAGGAATGATTTGCACATTATGCAGTTGGTAATCCGCTTCTGTTCCACCTCGGATGATCCAGGAAGCTTGGCGAAGCCGGATTTTGCCATAGATAACCAGAGTGTAAGTAGGGTCTGTACAATGGTCATTTCCATAATAGAACTGATATGCTTTGAATGTATTATTGTTGTAAAATCTGTAGGATCTTGTGATAAATTCTGGTCCGGATCGCACTTCACATCTACAATGAAAAAGATTGAGGATTAAAGAACATGCCACAATTAAAATCTTACACTACCAATCTTGTTTTCTTTTACACTAAATTCCTTTTTCTGTCCTCATCTGATCTCTTGCTGCACTGCACTTTTGTTTTCATTGTTTTGTTTTTCATTGATAATTGACTCCTTTTTTTTTTTTTTTTTTAGGAAATGCAATGAAAGGTCTTGCCCCATATGTCTATGCTGAACTAGTCTTGTTAAAAAACAGAGACTATTGTCTAACAGAAAATTTGGTAGGGGTTAAAATATAGATAGAGGGGTATAGAGAAAATAAGTCTTGGGATATGAAGTGAGAGGAAAAAAGGCTGGTAGTAGGAAAGGATAGAAAAGAAGAATGAAAGTGAAAAATACAAGGCTAGTGGGAAGGGGAGAATTAAAGGTGACTAGATTGACACATATACTAAAAAAGATCAAGATGGGTAGACATGGGATGAGTCTGGGGTGGCAAGATAATACCTAAACTAGGCTCCCAAGTTTCATCTGCCACTGACAAGTCTTCTAAAATGCCTATTCTAAAACAAGGTTATGAAAAATTACTTAAAAAGCTCAAACTTAGCTCATCCTGATCTCAATATTTTTTTCATAAGACAAAACTATTCCAGTAGGTGTGTGGCACAGCTATGTTCCCAGAGTTGTGTTTCTTGTATTTTTTTTCCCATAGTGAAAAATCTCCTTAAAATTCTCTCTCTCTTTTTTTTTTTAATTAATACATACAACTTCCTCCTTGGCTTTTACAAACATGTTGATCAATCTCAAATATCTCAAATATTTAACACAACATACCTGTGTTTACATAGCCAGCAAGCGGTATGTCACTTGCGGGCAGTGTGGTTTTTTTAATAAAAATTTGAGATACATTATTAACCACAAAGCATAATAGGGTGGGTTCTATTTTCCCAAACCCTCACAGAGCCCACTCTGACAACAAAATTAAAACATGTGAATTATAGCTTCATAAGGCATGAGTCTACTAGATTCTAGATCTAAATATAAATGCAAAAGGAATGGGAACATTTGCCAAGTACTTTTAAAGCCAGACAGCAAGGAAACTCTCCATAGACAGGTTTCCCTAGTGTATTCCATGCCAGACCACAAAGAAACAGGAGACAGACTGTTGTGGCTGGAGGCTCCCCTAATTCAGGAGTGGACACTGATCTTCAAACCAGAGCAATCGTTCAGACAGTGTCATGTTTGTTTGGTGGTTGGACTGCAGACAACGTAGGTTAATATTTTGACAGCAGTGGTCACTTTGGCTCAGCTTTAAGATGCACACTTGTGCTAACAAAGTATAAACATGACAAACGTCAATGTTAAATTATGGTAAAGTTTTAGTGCAGGTATTACATTACCAGACTTACAGGAAATCGTATAGTGATTAATAATTCAGACTTAAATACTCAAAAGTCCCACTGTTATTTTGATAACTATGTGAAACTCAAGGACAAAACGTAACTGTGGTTTGAGGGAAAAGATTATCAAAACAATCCATTATTTCTCCCTAGAAAAATACCCCTATGAATGTAGCTCGAGTTGAAAAGTGAGTCCACACATTTTTGTCACAGACAGGTGAAGGTGTAGTCGATTATGATATGGATTCACATCTCTGACAATTCTAGAACAGGTGTGTCAAGTCTTTATAACCTTCTGCCAAGTGTTTACGTCTTATGAGGTCCATTGCTCAAGTGATCATTTTACTTGCTTACCATGTGTCTAGACACAGACCTTTTAACAGACCCTGTTATAAACTTGGGGTGACATATTAATAACTAACCAGAGTAGGTGCTCTCCCAAGTAAAGGACATATATCCTAACTACAATCGTTTCCTAATCTATGTATATGAATATTCTGTAGAGTGCTGCAGACAATATATATCTGTTAGAGCTTGATTCATTGTAACATTATACTCTATACTAACTGTAACATGAGACAAATGTTACAGTAAGATATAATTGATATATATTTTTTAACGACATCTTCACTAAATTAAGTGTTGTTTGTCTCTCTTTTAAATCTTACAATTCTGCACAAATATCTCTTGGTGCCTCTGTATGCTAATACTCAGATGTACCGAGAGTGAATGTGCAAATTAACCACTTTTGTATCTCGTTCACTATTAAAGGTTATTTTTTATACTTATATCTACATCTTTTAGGCAGTGTTTCTTTTCTTCCTTTTTGCCACTACCTGTTATAAACTGGGAATATCTGTCAAAGTGTCATGAAAAATGGTGGTTCAACTCTGGCATTATTTGATTTGAGTGATCTAAAAGAATTGTGCTTACCAAGCAGGCACTGCAAATGCTTGCTAAGCACAATTCACACGATGTTCAGTCAGCCTTTTTGCCTCTGCCCAAGTTCAGCCTTTTTGCATATTGATTGGCTGGTAGGCTGGGACCACATGCAACATTATTAAACATAGATGGAAACACCCTAGAAATGACAAACCACTCAGATTCATCCCTGCAGCATGTTTCTTCAGACATACTGGTCTTTGGTGGCATCGCCACCAATCGTACATGAGGTAGTAGCATCTTGGACCTTAGTCTACAATCCTATATTGGCTGTGTCATGCAACCTTCAAGAGAAATCACCAGAAGCCATATTACATTGGTGTATGTTAACTAAAACATTCTAAGTGCTATATCCAAAAATAGATCATGAAATAGGGATTTAAAAAAAAAAATCTGCTCACTGGAATTAGCAAATAAATTCCAATTAATTACATCTACACTAAAATGTGTTTTATTCATCAATCTATTGCACAAATAGTGTATGAAATAAACCACCATTACACAATATCTCGTCATAGAACTCTTGTTTAAAAAAAATATATAAATATTTTTGTGAAATGAAAAAAAAAATCACGTGTAAAATGTGAAACACTATGACAGCATAAAGTATATAAAGTAACACTGTGCTTATTCTGGTTTTAATCCCAGATCTACAGCTTTGAGAACACAGATTAAAATAAAACATGTCTGAAAATGGGTCTAAAAATGATTTTAATACCACATAATAATGTAGCTGCAGAAATATAGTTATCAGTAAGGGTACTGATCTTACTACTGAATTAGATATAATCATTTCTGCTTTAGTAGTATGTGCATGACCCTTCTCTATTGGAATTCCCCAGGTACCCTTAGTCCAATTTATAAAAAGGAGGGCGCTGACTATGAACAACATTCTTGACAGAATTGTCCCAACAAAAGAACAACATTCCTGTTAGAATTATCCCCATAACTGAACAATCTAGGACAGAGACGGTCAAAAAGGTAGACCTCCCAGGCAGCCAGAATGGCAAAGTATCAATTAATTTGCACTTCAGGATTTAACTTTGGCCACTCCATTATAATTTGAGTTCCTTGCACAAAAACTAAGCAGGAGGCTAACCTTTAGGTAAGATAGGAAATACTTGAACATGCTAAATGTATTTATGGTGTACTGGTATCCAATAGTAGAGAGAAGTTATTTTTATTTAGTTTTGGGCCAATGAGATTAAAATAATATGCATAGGCCACTAACCCTGTAGAAACCCAATGACCTTCGATAACTGGGGGCATCTGCACAGTGACACGGGCTCCACTGTTAAGGTGTTTAAGCATGTGGTGACACTGCGATTCTTTGAATGCTCTCCACGCACTCTTCTCTAGAGATCGAGTATGTGTCCTACTATCTGGTAACACGAGAGCAGAACCTTCTCCAAAGCCTGTGAAAAACAAGAAAAATATATCAGTAAATTTACCCTAAAACATGAATTAAGTGTAACTTGCATATACTGTCCTAAAGCAGCAATTACAACTGTAATCTTTTTAGTCTGGATAGACTAAGATACCTCTCGGTTGGATAGTCACCAGCTCCCGGTCAGGAGTCCTCAATGTGTCTAGATCTACATAGATGGATTTTTAGACCTATGGAAAATACCATACTCTTTATAGATGCAAATAGCTTAATTGCAGCCAATTGTCTTTTCTTGCACCATACACATAATTAATTAATAAATACCATAATATAGATATACAAGCATTTTAATGCATAATATAAACCAGTCAATGACTCAGCTGATTAGTTTCCTTGTTTTGCATTTTGAATTAATAATAATTGCTTTAGCAAATTTAAGAATTAATTCAATGTTGGAGGGAAAACTTAATTGTCCTTTGGCCAAACTTCACAGATCTGCATTTCTTGCTGTTTGCAGATGACTAACAGATATTGCTTGGAGTGTTCACACAGAACAAAGAGGTAGTCCACTTTATCTCATATGTTCATGCTGAATGACCACTAAAAAGCTCCATGCAAAATCAAGCACAACACATCTTTAAACCACCACAGAAATACATACTTCCATACAGTGCTGTTGGTACTTCTTTGCCTAATTGTCTAAAATTTAAAGCATGTTTGCCTCACATACACAACTAACAATGCTGCTGTTCAATAATACAAACTATTTTAGAGATAAACTGGAACCTTGTTGGCATTGTTCTCCCTGACCCCTCAACGTGCCATTTTCAGCTTGCCCTGTGCATTCTGAGAAGTGTCTCTTGAGCCCTCTTAAATCAAACACCTAAGGAAAAAACACAAGCCTCAAGCTGACACTGTGCCAGGGGATGAATGAAGGAGCCAACTATATGTAACGATGAGGTTCATCCTTACACCAGGCAACTACAATGAAGGAAATCATCTTCCATACAGGCACGTGGCACTTGAACATACTCTTCCAATTAGTCAGACTGTAAAATCACCATATTTATTTATTTCAGGAAGTGGTACAGCAACGTTTCGACTCATACTGAGCCTTTATCAAGCCAGGTTTTCGATCTTCATTTGTAAAATCACCATAGGCAATGTATTTACCACCCTATCATTCCTTCACCTTGTTTATCAGAATAGATAGATATCTAAGACCAAAACATTTCTATAATGCCTGTTCACTCGGTGCCAACTTTAAAAAGAAGAGAAAATACAGTCATATTTGTTATCATTGTTCAGGTTTACATGAGTGGCCCAGCAACATCCTCTGCAGATCTGTATCTGGAGTTCAGAGTGACATGTTATTATGGACACTGTTATCCTGATCCATCGATGATCTCTTGCTTAAAAGGAAACACTGCACCAAAAGTCCCGTAGCAAGCAGGAAGTGCTAGAGGCAGTCTTAGTCCTGCAATGTGATTGTTGCAGGTTCTCATAAACTGCAATGATTTACATTGTAGGACTAAGCGGGACTGGGAAACTGCATTCAGACCACTTCTGAGCTGAAATAGTTTGCCTACTAGGGTGCCTTAAGTATCCCTTTAAATTAGTTTGTTTATGTAGCTCAAGCCACACCTACTCTGCCTTTGCATTACGGAGCCTCCCTAAACACATCAAAGAGATCTATTTTTTTTTTTTTACTTCATTTATTGCACGGTATGTTTAATTTAAATTTTTAAACTTTAACTTCTAAAGTACGCAATAAACGAACTGAACTATAAGATCTGATTGAAAATAAAACTATTTTTGAAGGCTGTGTGAGTCACAGCCAGGGAAAGTGTGGCTAGAGCTGTATGGACAGAAGCAAAAGTGATTTAAAGGATCACTATAGTGTCAGGAAAACAAACTCGTTTTCCAGACACTATCCCCCCCCACCCTCAGGGCCCCACTCCCTTGGCGCTGAAGGGGTTAAAACCCCTTCAGCTACTTACTTTAATCCAGCACCGGGCTCCCTCAGCGCTGGTGACCTCTCCTCCCACTCCGAGAGGAGCGGAATGTGCATGCGCGGCAAAAGCCGCTTGCGCATTAAAAACGCCCATAGGAAAGCATTTGTCAATGCTTTCCTATAGATGTTCTGCACGCGGATTGCGATGATTTACGCAATGAGACTGCAGGGCATGATTTCTACACTAAAATTGCTCCATTAAGCTAAAGTTGTTTTGCTGTCTATATTGTCCCTTCTAGCTAAAGTTGTTTTGGTGCTCCGAGTAGCTCCTTAAGAATGTTTATAAATGCAGAAGGAGTACAGGAAAAGATAAGACACACGGGTGACTTAAGGGGATGTATATTTGCACTATCCTGCTCTTTAAGTGTACACATTAACAAGTTTCTTCTAAGACCAAATGTTGTTCTAGGTATTTTTATGCAAAGTATTTTCCTAATATAACATCCACCATTCTTTCAGCTGTAATATTACTTATTCTGTACAATGTTACCAGATAACTAGCAATGTTAAGAATACCCTAGCGTATTTTTACTACTCCTGTATCATGTACAGCATTTGCCTGTGCTATTCTCTGTGTTCCTGCTGTCAGGAATACAGCCTAGGGGAAATGAGGCTACTATATACTTAAATTACCATGCCATAGAGACAGCATCTAAGGGAGTCCCACCAGAGTCTTGAGTCATGTTTTGTAACTTGAATAAATATAGCCAGCAGCAGTATGTGAATTTGACACTTAAAGGCACCAGTACAGTTTGAACCAAGACACCCAGCTGGACATTACAGTGTTTCCAAAGAAGTCAGCATTTCAATTAGTGTATGCATTAGAATACCTAAGGCACATAATTACCATTTGTAAATATGTTTGGTTGAGCCCTCTTCACCTACTGTTCTTGTATGTCAAATGTGTTTTGTTGTAATTCATTGTTTGTATTGTGTTGGCTATTGTACAGAACTGGATAATATGTTTATCTCTATATAAATAAGTTTGTTTTCTAATGAGAGATTCAGAAATTCTTTGCAGCATCTTATATTTATGTTCTAAATCTGAAAGTATTCATTTAGCAAAAGGCATTACAGTGTATTAATTACTACTAGTGCAAAAAAAAAAAAACTCTAACATAATTAACCCATAACTACCAGTATCAGGTCAATATCGACATCTCATGGAATCAAAGGGATTCCCTAGCGCTAGGAAAACAAACCCGTTTTCCTGGCACTGTATAATCAGGGAGTGCCCCCATCCCTCCCGCCCCCCCATCCCACGTCACTGAAAGGGGTTAAAAACCCTTCGGTCACTTATCTGAATCCAGCGCCGATATCCCTCAGCACTGGGTCATGCTCCGCCCACGCTCCTCACCCGCGGACTTCCGCCAGTGGGGGAGACCTAATGTGCTTGCGCGGAAATAGCCGCACGCATTATTGAAAGCATTATTCAATATTTTTATATAGGGGTTCCGGCAGCACTGGAGGTCCTCATGCACAGCGTGAGGACGTCCAGTGTCGTTTAGATGACCAAAAGTCGTCTAGGAAGCCGGAAGTCCCTTTAGTGGCTGTCTGGTAGAAAGCCACTAGAGGAGGACTTAACCCTGCAAGGTAATTATTGCAGTTTCTAAAAACTGCAATAATTACACCTGCAGGGTTAAGGATGATGGGAGTTGGCACCCAAACCACTTCAATGGTCTGAAATGGTCTGGGTGCCTACAGTGTCCCTTTAAATAGCTAAAAAGCTGCATAAACTTGCTAGGAGCCTCTACCATTCAATGGATATAAACTGTGTGGATAAGATACATTGTTCTTGCTATTAGCAAGTCACTTAACATTTTTCAGAACTAAATGAGATTGTGGTGGGAGAGCGGAGGCTGAGGTAAATGGTGGCAGATTAACAGTTGACCTTAAAGTATATTGGTATACCTGGACACAGAAATATACTGAATGAAAGACAAAAGAATAAAAATGTTGTCTACCTGCATGCCTCACAACCATCCCGATTTCATGATTCATGATCATCATGATTTTCAGCTTCCCATCAAAGCAAGACACCAGGGAACTCTCTCCAAAAAGTGTATCATTAGAAGCTCTCAAACTGCACTCAGAACACTAGGACTCTGCAGAGAGCACGGACGTGCTGCTCTCTGCATAGTGCTCCATCAGTGGGCAGGCCTACTTGGTTGGTAGGCAGCCTGACATACATTTACATCAGGCTCACCTGTAAGTAAATCGAACAAACACCCCTCCCATCGTGTGCCCCGTTTGGACAGAACCAGTGGCACAATCACATCACTGGCCCACCCTTAGATCTCACCTTCCTGAGTGGAAGATCATTTAAATCTTTCAAATTAGTGTTATATGCGGTGCAATGGGTGTGTTGAATGTATTCTAAAATCCATTTTACAAATCTGTCATTTATTTGTAAACATGATATGCATTTGTTAATTATTTAAGCACCATCATTTTTAAAAAAATTAATTAAATAGATTATGTAAAAAGTGAATACCTGTATATATTAAACAGACAGACAGAAATTGTGTATTTCTCTTTGTGTTAGATCTGTAGCCAAAATAGCTCTGGTTCTACAGATTTTTTTCCCAAAGTTTTTTTGTTCTTTTGAAAAATCTGTGTCAAATCTGGATTCGTGCAAATAAGCAGCAATCTCGATGAAGTAATATGAAAGGGTTCATTGTTTGTTGGAAATCATCACAGAAATAACAAAAATAAAAAGTGACAGCACAGAAATTTGTATCATGTGGTTTCCAATACTTACATTTATAATAAATGAGTCTTTCTGAAAATGAAAGTGTTGTAACATGAGCAGAACCGCTACATCCTGTTAACTAGCTGCTGCCATTTATAGATCTGTGTGTGTGTGTGTGTGTATGTAAGTATGTATGTGTGTGTGTGTGTGTACCCAAGTCTATAATATTGAAAAAAAAAATGAAAATAAATTCTAAAGAGAAAATAAATTGTCCACTATCATGAAACAGCAGGATTTGTAACCATTACCGTACTGTTTTATTTATAATACCCAACATGTCATGTTATATATAACAAAAGTAAACATGTGTTACAATAATGGTTTTCAGCAGACTATGAGACATTCATTTGCATTCCCTTTAAAAAAAATAATATATACAGTTTATAGTGGGCTCTGTTAGATTTTGGAATGACTCTCCTTGAAATGGCCATTCCAGCAGCCACCATGGAACAACCCTCGGGGGGTGAGGGGGAGAAAATAGAAAGAATGATTCTGCAGACTTGATTACTGAGCAGAGACAGATATGAAACTCTATCTAAGAGAGTACACTTAAAGTATACCTGTATACATACAACGTCCCCCCCCAAAAAAGGTAAATGAAACTTAATTTATATATTCTGCTAGCAGAATATCAGAAAAATATTGTAAATGTATACAAATTACCCCTCTCATCGATTAAGTATCAGTCTTAATTAAAATCTCCTTTAGCAGTACATTTTTTCATACATCACTATGATAAATCTGACTGCATTAGGAAACAAAGAATTTAAGTGAACTTCTCGTGACAGGTTCACTTTAAAAGAGCACCATCACCACTGCAGTTACCTGTAGCTGTTAAGGTAGACTGGGTCTGTGAGTACAGCCCTCCCCATTTTCTGTCAAACTGTTTTTGAGTGGTATTACAAAAAATAGGACTCTCAAGAAGATGCTGTCAACCTAGCCTTGCTGCTGTTGGTCAGATAACACGGTAGTGGACGTCCACAATAGCTTGTGTAATTTGGATGGGAATGATAGGTTGAAAGGGTTGGGGTGGCTTAGTGGATGATGTAGTATTGCGTAGCCACTAGTATATTTTCTAAGTGGGGTTATGTTCAGAGGTAAATAATAGAATTCCAATACTAAGTATAATCCATGGTAGAAGTCGACAGGTTTCACATATATTTATGATCAGAAGTCTTCAGCTTTACATGGTTTGTCACCCAGGAGGCAACAGAAGCATTGCATCCTAATTTTTAAAAATAATGGACAGGTCAATATATCACAATATAGGTATGATAAGCTTATAAAATGTCCTCTGTTAGTGAACATAATGAGTAAAACACAGGGACTGAAGAACAACCTGTAGAGCAGGGGTCGGGAACCTTCAGCATTCCAGATGTTGAGGACTACAACTACCATAATGCTCTTGCAGCTATAATGCTATCAAAGCATCAGGGGAGATGTAGTCCGCAGCATCTCTATCCCTGCTGTAGAGTAGAGTATTCTCAGAGTAAAATGAATTCAGTTTATCACAGCTTGGTACATTCTCCCAAATGACTGATACGTTTGGAGAACTGTTTAGGATAACAATGTTGATATCTGTTGATATCTGTATGCTCTAATATCTTACTTATTTTTTACAGATGAGCTCACCGAACACCCAGATTAAGAATTATTTTGTAATTACTATAATTGATGCTATAAGACTGACTTTTGAAACAGTTCACTGATGTACAGTGTGTTTTATGGCCTTAAAAGCCTTACTCCCCTCTAGGCAAGAACCCAGCTATATATATATATATATATGAAAAGAGTTCAGCAGAATTAAAGGGGAACTAATCCTACATCTTATCTAATAATACCGCACCCACCATGCGCACTGTGTGATTATAGATACCCTTTGTATTTTGTTCCTGTCTCACATTTCTGACATTTGTCTAAAGGATTTTCCAACAAACCCTCCCACTGGATTGATGGATACCCAGATACCTCTACATGTCACATGTAGTCTGTGGTTGCTGGAAATAAACCCATGAGCAGATATAGCAATCCAGTTTTTCTCATTTATCTTTTGCCTATCTAGAGTCAGCTGCATGTGAATTGCATGTAAACTAAGAATAGGATGTCCACTCTTTAGCATGCTTGTAGTAGTATTTAAGATGTACTCTTGTTTATTTCATCTACTATTACTCTTGCTGTACTGACCACGGTAAGGTCAAGTATCTAGTTCAGTGAAAGCCTTTTGAGATCCATGGCCCAAACAACATCAATCTGCAGACAACAGGGTGAGACTGAGATAACTCAGCCATTCCTGAGCCTTCGATCCTTCCATTAATTCCATTCATAGCACTATGCATACACCTGAATCATGAGAAGCAGAAATTTTCAGGATATGAAGTTTAGCTGTCAGATATCTACTGAAAGCTATATATCTCACTGTAGATCCTGATACATAGTTTAATTTAATACATGAATGAAAGTGCCTCACAACTTAAATGAATACAGGACATTATGCTGAAATGTTTAAAACCAGCAGAGAGCCCTTCCCCACAAATTTGATGCTTTTTCCTTTTAAGGTGCTGGTGAAATGATCCAGAAGAATTAGGAAACATTGAATTAATTCTAGCTTTCATGGTGTGTGTTTTTAACCCCTTAAGGACACATGACATGTATGACATGTCATGATTCCCTTTTATTCCAGAAGTTTGGTCCTTAAGGGGTTAAATGGAGGGTCGCGATGTGGTAAATGTTTGGTGACTCTGTAGAACTCACAGGCTAGAAGTGACTTATCTTGTAGGTTTGCTGTTTTTAGCCAAGAAGATGTTTATTTGTTTATTAAGGGACCGCTATATTTGAAAATGACAAGAGATGAAAGATGAAAGGCACAAAACACATCTCTGTCTCAAGTTCTCTCTAAAAAAGATCTGCACTGATACAGAGAACAAAGTAATGTTTTGTCTGGAAAAAATCCACATACAGCTCAGCACTTTTGATGGAGGAAACATCTCACTCAGAGCTTTTATGTGCTAATTGGCGTTTGTTTGGCTGCTTCTAACAAAAGATACAGTCTGACTAAAGGGCATGATCTATATACCCGGAAAGCTTCAACTACTGGCTTCGGGCAAGAAACGGTCATCTTATCAATGGTGCTGATTCAATGGCTTCAAAGCATGTAGAAAATATTTTTTTTCTATAACTTTTCTTCTTTTTTTTTTTGGTTACAAAGACAAACCTTGTTCATGCCTCTAATCGTATGTTAGCATTCTCATTTTTAACAGCAGTGTTGATCAAATATTTTTATTTTTTATATGATGAACCCACAAATGTGCTTAATGTTACTACCCAGTTTTAATACGCAATATCGATTGCCAGCTCTGTAGTGCTGCAGTTATTTTCTCAATGTTTACATTTTAGGACTCACAACTGCACCTGACATGTTTCCCTGTTTAAATGTATACCATTAAATCAAACACTGGCAGTCACCTATAATTTGTGTTAAAGGGACACTATAGTCACCTGAACAACTTTAGCGTAATGAAGCAGTTTTGGTGTATAGAACATGCCCATGCAGCCTCACTGCTCAATCCTCTGCCATTTAGGAGTTTATGAACCCTAGTCGCACCTCCCTGCATGTGACTTGCACAGCCTTCCATAAACACTTCCTGTAAAGAGAGCCCTATTAATAAACATACTGCTATGTTTATTAATGGGTTAAGCCTTCCCCCTATTCCCTCTAGTGGCTGTCTCATTGACAGCCACTAGAGGCGCTTGCGTGCTTCTCACTGTGATTTTCACAGTGAGAGCACGCAAGCGTCCATAGGAAAGCATTGTAAATGCTTTCCTATGCGACGGGCGGAATGCGCGCGCAGCTCTTGCCGCGCGTGCGCATTCAGCCCAGGAGGAGGATCGGAGGAGGAGAGGAGGCAGAGAGCTCCCCGCCCAGCGATGGAAAAAGGTAAGTTTTTAACCCTTTCCCCTTTCCAGAGCCGGGCGGGAGGGGGTCCCTGAGGGTGGGGGCACCCTCAGGGCACTATAGTGCCAGGAAAATGAGTATGTTTTCCTGGCACTATAGTGGTCCTTTAACATTTTTTTTCATCATAAGATGCTACATTTCATTTTAGAGTTCGATGATATAATTATCCAGTTCAGAGAAGGCAAAGCTGGAGCAAATATTTCAAATGAAGAAGAGAAAAATAAACTATTTTATTTCTCCTCTTTTCTCTATATATGCTCTCTTACAGGTGTCAAGAACAAGGATTAACAGAGAGCTAAGATAGAGGCAGCCCAGTTGAAGATTAAAGAAGTGCGGATTTCAATACTTTCATTTTATTGTTTATACTTCACAAATACATATTAGTTAAATATAAGAATAATTAAACACAATATTAAGATTGTCCTCTTAAAAACAGCATTTTTTTTTTTTTTTATCATTTTATAGTTGAGCAAAATATCAGCGGAGCTCCCAAAGACTAGATTAAAGGGACACTGTAGGCACCCAGACCACTTCAGCTCATTAAAGTAGTCTAGGTGCTGTGACCCTTTTGCACTTAGTGCATTGCAGCTCTAAGTATGCCCTCTGTGGCAGTCTAACAGACAGCCACTAGAGGGCTTCCGAAATCCACACCGACCTTTTGGTCGGTTATCTAATGCTGGACGTCCTCACGGACCTCCATCGTCAGATTTTCCCCATAGGAAAGCATTAGGTCTCCCCCGCAGGCCGACATCAGCGCTGGATTCAGGTAAGTGGTTAACCCCTTCAGCCCCGTGGGAGGGGGGCTCCGATGGAGGGGGGGAAACTAATAACCCTATAGTGCCAGGAAAACGGGTTTGTTATAGGATCCCTTTAAATGACCACTATAGTGCCTGGAAAACATACTCGTTTTCCTGGCACTATAGTGCCCTGAGGGTGCCCCCATCCTCAGGGTCCCCCTCCCGCCGGGCTCTGGGGGGAGAAAGGGGTTATACTTACCTCTTTCTCCAGCGCCGGGCGGGGAGCTCTCCTCCTCCTCTTCAGCTGAATGCGCATGCACAATGCTTTCCTATGGACGCTGGCGTCTTCTCACTGTGATTTTCACAGTGAGAAACGCAGAAGCCCTCTAGCGGCTGTCAATGAGACAGCCACTAGAGGCTGGATTAACCCGAACATAAACATAGCAGTTTCTCTGAAACTGCTATGTTTATTGAAAAAAAGGGTTAAACCTAGCTGGACCAGGCACCCAGACCACCTCATTAAGCTGAAGTGGTCTGGGTGCCTATAGTGGTCCTTTAAAGACTATCAAATTAGTGCATACTCTGTTAGACTTATAATCAGGTGATAAACTTTAAAAGTGGAAATTGGCTTCAAATATCTAGCTATCTACATGAAAATATCTGAGGGAAGACCAATGAAGCATACGTGGATCACTTCAGATCCCCTTGACTCAATCTACTGCCCTGATTGAATTCATTTCTGCTATTGAGATTGGCTTCAACGCCTGCCCCCAGCCCTGATTGTCTAACATTCACCTTTTTCATTGCCAAGATAGTCCACTCCACCCAGTCCTCTTGCTACTATATTACATAGTGAATTGGATTCTCCTTCCTCCACTTTTTATGGTCAGAGAAAGAGGAAGAAGTGATAGATTTGTTTGGATTTAGCGTGATATCAAAATTGAAAGCGTTAAAAGGGCCAGTAGACCATTGGTAGTTTAAATAGAGTTAAAGGACAGTAGGAAGTGTTGGACACCCAATTATATATTAATACAGATGAGGCCTGGCATAAACTGTCTTACCTGAATCATTCAAGGAAACTCAAAAAGGTTACTAAGTGGATCCATAAATATGCACTGGAAATGCTCTTACTAAATTGGTTTGAATTCTATCAAAGTTGTTTAAAATTGAATTGTATCAACGTTATGTTTAAAATACCCATATGAGTTAATTGTATGTTTTATACAACCATTTCCACTATTGCAATTTGTGTTTGCAATATATATATATATATATATATATATATATATAGATATATATATATATATATATATATATTAAACATAAACACACTTGTAGAGGATGATATGCAGGATTGTTCACTAAAATGAGAATTGTCAGGAATTCAAAGTGAATTTAAAATTTAAGGACAAAATAGCCAATTGGAGAAATTATATAAGTCATCTATGCTTTCATTTCAGTTATTTTGGCTTTAAATGTGAAATTCACTTTGAATTCCTGATAATTCTTTACAGGGTTATTCAACAGAGGAAAGTCCAAGTGAATTACAAAATGAAGGTCAAACTAGCTGAACAGGAAAACATCTCTAAGTCAGTAAAAGATTTAAGTTCAGCTAGTCTGGCCTTAAATTTGAATTCTCCCTTTAGTAAATAACTCTGACAGCACTGACGTGTGTATTAAAGACTAGTACAGGAGATGAATGCAGGGTTAATCACAAAGGTGGGGACAGAAGCAAATCAAAGTAAATTCAAAGTGATTTTCAGATTTGAGTCCACAATTGCTGAATTCAAAAAGTTTTTAATTCAGTTATGTTTTCAATGTGTTTATTTTAACTTAAAATCTGAAAGTCACTTTCTATTCACACTTGAGTGAATAACTCTGCAAGTCAAGAGTAATTTAAGAATAGATTAGCTCACTAAAGAGAGTTTGGAAGGCCAAAATAGCAACACTAAATTTTTTTCCTGTTTAACCCCTTAAGGACACATGACATGTGTGACATGTCATGATTCCCTTTTATTCCAGAAGTTTGGTCCTTAAGGGGTTAAATATATATATATATATATATATATATATATATATATAGTCTTAACGATCTTGGTCTATAATTTTGTGAATAAAAATGTAAAATTTGGTAAAAACATCCTATTTGGATAATTAAACCTATCTTTAGGGTAGATTATTATAGACAACTGGACCTTTCAGAACATCCTGTTAGTGTCACAAAATGTGTAACTCTTGCCCCTACAAAGCCTTTTTTCCCCCTCTTTGTGGGTTATAAAATATAGTCTTTGCGACAAACAAATTAATTTCTATACTGCAATATGTTAGTAAGAGATCTGAGGGTGGCCTTCCTGGGGGCGATTAGGTGTATTGAAAAAAAAACAAAAAAACACAACAACATGGGACAGTACATGCCATGAGTCCAAGTCAATAAATTACAATAAAAACCCCCCAAAAAACAGAATACATCTGTCACTTATGTTTGCTTTTTAATCATGGACTCCATGGCATGGCCATACATTTAAAGGTACCAAACAAAAATTCTATTGTTCATGATATTTTCTCCTTAAAGTATGTAAATAGCAGTTTCATTTGTCACATTTCACCATATTTGCCTTCAGCTATCTCAGACAGATTTCTCTAGACACCTTATTTAGTTCATTGTATCACTGTTTTGTCTTTCAATGACCCGCATGTGAAACAGCAAACACTTCAAGGACAAGTGACCTGAAAATAACGCTTTCAAACATAAACAACTTGTCTGGGGATACTAGGATGTGGGTCTGTTTCCAGACACCTGCAATTTCCCATACAAAGCAAACGAGTGATGTGGGATGGTAACATGGTAAACAGTGATAGAATATTCCGTGGCTTTTTCCACATGTTCTGTTTGCTACGGAGGAAGTTTCCTGATACTAAAATGTGAAATGGTAAAGAAGTTCTAGAAGCGTATTATGCAAGCTGTGTTTAATGTAATGTAAAAAGAACCTGAATTCGGAAGTCAACAGAAAAGCTGATGCATATGGCAGAGGTGCTACCTTTATTGGAGCCGGTTTGGGAGAGTTTGTTGGCAATGTATAACATACCCCAGGTTTTCTGTAATTCCATATGACTATCATCATTACCACTGTGCAAAAAAAGAAAAACAAAGTAAAACATGCAGGTCGCAGATCTCAGGGTATTGACCTTGAGGTTGTGTGAAAATAATGGTCTTGTCACTTCTCAGAATTTTTAATATTATGCTGACCACTCTCTCTAGCAAACATATCATAGAGATGTGAGAAATAAATGTGAATGTAGAAAAATGAGTACACCTTCTGCAACTGGGCAGCTCCATCTTAATTCCCTGTTAATCACTGTTATTAGTTCTGTTCGATGCATCTGGCAACCAGCATACAGAAACCATACACAGAATAGTAGCAAGTAGTGATGTCCCGAACGGTTCGCCGAAGACGGCGAATATATGCGCTGTTCGGTCCGCCCCCTATGTCATCATTGAGTAAACTTTGACCCTGTACCTCACAGTCAGCAGACACATTCCAGCCAATCAGTAGCAGACCCTCCCTCCCAGACCCTCCCACCTCCTGGACAGCTCACTAAGAATGCAGCTTCACAATGAATGTAAAATGGATGCTGTCCAGGAGGTGGGAGGGTCTGCTGCTCATTGGCTGGAATGTGTCTGCTGACTGTGAGGTACAGGGTCAAAGTTTACTCAATGATGACAAATAGGGGGCGGACCGAACAGCGCATATGTTTGCCGTCCACGGCGAACCGTTCGGGACATCACTAGTAGCAAGGTAACAATGCTTTGATTTTTCTTCTCATTTGCAAGGTGTACCTTGGCTGTGCCAGAAATTTCTTGATTCATATCCGACCTGCAGCCTGTAAAATGTACTGTAGTACATTTTACAGGCTGCTCATCAGTATGTAACAGTGATAAACATTCAAACATCTAAAAAACCTGAGCCCACAGCACCAGAAGAGCTGTGCGTAATTAAACAATAACACTATAGAGTGTGTGTGTGTGTGTGTGTGTGTGTGTGTGTGTGGTGGGGGAAGGTTGGCTTGCAATATCTCTTCAAATCAACTTTTCCATATTGGGTGTGGTAAAAGCAAAGAGATTTGAATAATTCTGTTTTGCGTTATTTTTATATATTGGTGAATGCGCTGGGTTCTGCAAATTGTATCAGTTGATTCCAACAGCACCCTTATAATGTATGTATGTATATACAGGTGAGTGCAGCCTTCCTGGTTTCAAATATATACATATCATTTTAAATTTGGAGTCCAGACCAACTCCCCGGGTTTGGCACTCCTCCCTGTCACAGGTGCCTCATTCCAGGGCCCTATTTAACCTTGCTCTGCAGAGAGTCCCAGGAGGATGGATTTCCCAAGTAAGTGGTTTAATGTTAAAAGAACAGACAGGCATTAGGTAGCTAGAGTAGGACTTGCCAAAAATGGGGTACATCGGCGTTGTGAAATGCTTATTCTATGTATAATCATATACTGAGACTAAACCTTCATTTGTGTTTTAAAAAACACGATTACATTTTGTGAGCTTAGAGGTTGGTGTTTAGTGAGTGAGTGCGTTGATTCTCATGAAGAAGCACTGGATGCACACAGATGCCAGCAACATATGTTAAATATATAAATTTTAGTATTTCTAATTGTGTTGGACGCCCCTTGTGACTTTATGACAGAGTGGTGAGGTGTGGTGTTGAAATCTCAATTCTCGGAAACTGCACTTTTTACAACAGCAGCATATGTGCCCCCAAATCACTTCATTAAGATAAAATAAAAATTTTTTAGAGTTCAGACTGTCCCATTAACAATAACTCACTATGCAGATATATTACTATTTGAAGAGTAACATATTTGTTCATAAACAAAGGGATTTCACTCCTAAATGGCAGAGGATTGAGCAGTGAGGCTGCAGGGGCATGTTCTATACACCAAAACTACTTCATTAAGCTAGTTGTTCAGGTGACTATAGTGTCCCTTTAACATAATAATGTCTGCATGTGGCAGTGAAGGCAGAGTGTTACTCCAAGCACCATGACCATTTCACAGATTTGAAGTTCATTGTTTGGCTATGTAATGCAGAGTTTAACCCATCTACTGATGAGGTGGAACTCACTTCAGGCAGCATTAATGGGGAGTCATTTTAGTGCATATTGGATGTCCATCATCAGCACACATAGCATGCTGATGACAGGTGTCAAATGCCCCCAATCGCCACCTCTCAGCCTTGTCTGCCCCTAACATTTTGGACTCTGCCCACAACCCCATGTACTCAACCCCTGACTCATTAAGAGGTTATGCCCTTTTGAATGTCATAAACCTATAAACGCCATAAATCTATGGATAGAAATATTTGTGAAACAACCGCCAGTTTAACCCCATAAGGACACATGACATGTGTGACATGTCATGATTCCCTTTTATTCCAGAAGTTTGGTCCTTAAGGGGTTAAAGGAGATTGATTCCGCCTAAAGACCTGACCTAGGTGTCAGGTCTATAAACCGGCCTGTTTTTTAGGGCTTCTAGCCCAATGCAAAGCCAATTGGTACACTAAGTCAGACCTCAGGTTAGAGCAGACTAAGCAAGTCAGAGGGCTATATACCCAGAAAATATGTTTTATTGATATGTCTTCCGTCAGAAATGTTTCAATATCACGACACAATTGTTTGCTCAGTCTTTCAGCAGCATCTGCAGTCATCAATTAACCCCTTAAGGACACATGACATGTGACGTCATGATTCCCTTTTATTCCAGGTTTGGTCCTTAAGGGGTTAAAATAGGGGGGGGAAAAACTGAAGATATAATCATGACAGACATAACATGTTTATTTATTGTAAAAACACACGCATTATAGTCCACACCATAACAATAAATTACTTGGGGTTTTCTTGCCTCAAAACACTGAGGGTTCTGTCTCACCTACACTTATGCACCAGCCTCCACATGTAAGTGGGCATAATGACCACATACAGCAAGTAGAGTCTGTACTATAGACCTGGGTTCACATTGGATGCTAGTCTTAAGACATGTGCTCTAGATGGCCCTGGGAGATGGAGTATGATGGGAGTTGTAGTCCAACAGTAAACAAAGTACCAAGAGATGTCATCTCCCCAATCACAACTGAAACAATCTAAGTAACGGACATTAAACTATCACAGCACAAATAGTTCATTTCATCAAGTGGATAAACTAGGATTCCTCAGGATTTTTACCATAGACCAATTATATACTTGGCACCATGCATTAAATCCCACTGTGTGACACAAACACTAGCACTTTTTTTTGGTGACAGCTCTGCTATTGAAGTGAGGTGAGGTGTGCAGTAGGGTTTAATGAAAACAAACTACTCGGGATCAGCTCAACCTAGCTCACGTCATAACCCAACAAAAATGCGCGTATATGTGTCCACGACAACATGCAGTGAATCATGGGATATTTTACATATCTTATGGCATATTGTACACCAGCATTGTATAATTTTAAAGTTTGTTTTAATCAATATAATGCCCATGACTGGTTTCCTAGGTGTTAGAGTGAATACTGGTAAAGACAGTTTTAGTGAGCATGGAAGTTGTGAGAAAAAGCAGGGTTCTCAAAGCATCATAACCACTTCATTTGTTATTTTAAAAGTTATGGTATAGGACTCAAGGGTCAGCAACATTCGGCACTCGAGATTATTTTGGACCTCATCTCACATGAGATATCGCCTACAACATCAGGAGTGCCAAAAGTTACACCCCTGGTGGTACTTCTGTGCAAAGCCATTTCACAATACTGTGAACCTGACCCTGCATAAATATATAAAAGATATGATGCAGTGGCTATCAGTTTGTAGAGCAGTTCCAATTACTGTTACAGCTGGGGGATAAACTACTTATCCTATCATCTGCTGGTGGACTTGGCTTTATGGGATAAGCTCAGACCTCAGATATCAGAATAAAAAACACTTTATTTGGCCATGGTTTTACCAGAAGCTGCAATCAGTTTATCTAACATCCCTATCCATTATCAGGATCTTAGAAAATACTATTTTTTTTCTTTTTAATATTTTATTATTTTTGCATTCTTTTATAATGCATTACCTACAGAATGCATTAAAAATATGGGTATACACCGTTTCCCCCCTTTAACCACTGGAAGCCAATTTCAATTCTTACTAAGACTTACAAGGCCTGCAGAAAGAATGGCGTTAAGATAAAATAGACCACTGTTGCTTTTGGAAATGTGTTTAAAAAGGGACAGAGATCGAAATGAATACATAAAGACGCACACTTTTTAATGCAGCTTCCTGTTAAATATGTTTAATACTGTGCAACGAACAAAAAGGGTTCTGGTTACATATTGGACCTTTGTCATTCTTCACGTGCTTGTTTCAGTTTGTCTTTTGATAAATAGTATGTGTAAAAAATCCCAACAAACCAGATTAGCCTTTGATAAAACACTGAATTGTTTCTCTTTTTCATCTTTTTTTGGCAGCTGTTGTTTTGATCTCTCTACGGGCTCCAAATTGTCTCAAGGTTATACTGAGGATTAGAAGTGCTCTGTAATTCTAAGCAGATGGGTCTAGAAGAACAACCCTATAATTACTTTCTATACCCTGAAACCACATACTCTGGCTTTTAGGTCTATGGATCATAAACATACAAAGTGCATCAACATTCCGGCAGGTCTAGTTAAATGAGGCCCAATTATGCTAGCTACAGATTTAGTTGAATGAGTTATATGACAGATTAAGTAAAGTCACCAAGGGATTTGAGTTAGCTTTATTCAGCTACAATCATGTCACCTTTAAGCTTACATTCACTGATATTAAATACATGCTGTATTACCTGACAAATACAGTTCTCATTGTCTTAATTATATATTGCTGTATGTATCTCTCTTAAATTTACAAAGAAAGACAGAACATAAAAATAATATATCATTTCAACTCAGCGTGTAGTTATAAGGCTAGGTTATTGTTACATTTGATCTTTATTATTGTAGAACATGCCATTAACTTAATTTTGGGCTTTTGTTTGATAAATAGTAAGATGACACTTTTCTCGGTTTATCTCAAGTTTACTGATATAAATCAGATTTTTTTTACTGCCTTAAATAATGTTATAATGTATTTGCCTTCCCTGGCATAAGTGTGGTCAATATGCAGGCTCTCAACAGAAACAAGGGTTCGATTTTTAAATTTTCTTTGAGACAATCACCAATAAAAAGTAATCGTAGTGATTAAACTTGATACATAAAGTCTGTGAAATGCATTCAAACTTCATCAGAGTGTAAAACTATATTTATAATGATACAAGGAAATGATAGACAATTGCCTAACTCAATGTTAAACAATGTGCATAACTCCCAACTATCCCAGATCCTGTGTTAAAGTCCTGATGTGGATCTACGGTCTTGCAGTTCTGGGTTATTGCTCTGTTCTGCTGCTACTGAAGGGTGACTAGAATATATATCATAAAGGAACATAGTGATAGTAAGACTGAGCGAACTAGAGTCCCCTCAGTATGCAAAAACTCAGTGCTCAGTGACTTTAGGTGGCTAGCAAGTTACATGTGTTATCTCAGTGCACATAACATGGATGTACCACATGCATGCCCTATTCATCAGCCGTGCTCACTCTTGCTCTTATTTATGAGGGACAAACATAAACACAAGCTTAGTAGCTTATATAATGGTTGATTCCCACTCAGGAACATCTCACATATGTCATTCCGTGCAATAATTTTTCCATGATTATATCAGATTGTTCCCAGTCACTGAGTCATCCCAGATCAGAAAATGTCAGTAAAGTCTCGATTTTATGAGACCCAGCTATTTTAGACAATCATTTTGGCCTCATCAGTGTGTGACACACTCATTGAGAACTTAAACTCATTCGAACGGCTCCTGTGCTGGCGTTGCCTTTAGGGCAAGATATAAAACTTTTGTCTTTGCTCTGATGTGTCTGCTACACCTTGTTTTTCACTATGTGAAACGTCTTGCAAAGCATCTTTACACAACATCCGGTTTATTCACTAAAGTGAGAATTCAACTGAATTTCATATTTAAGGTCAAAATAGCTGACCTGAAAAAACGCAGTCATCTATGTTTTCATTTCAACTACTCTGACCTGAAATGAACAAGTCACTTTGAATTTGCACTTTGTTGAATAACCCTACCTGCGTGTCAATGAAAAGGGATGGGAAGGGTTTAATCCTAAAACACATCAATAATTCTCCCCAAACCAGACAATCTATCCAGGTTTGAAAATTAATTCCTGCTGTCCCTCTCGACTGTAAAGGATCCATCTAAGCATCGTAACAACTCTGCATGGTGGACTGTTATGGTACAGAGAGCACCTGGCACCTAATCTGTTGAACTTGGCTTATAACTGCAGAGATTTCGTTGGTCAGACATAGGCCTCAATTTAGTTATCTTTCCAAATGAATACTGAAATACTTTGCAAACGATTTATGTACAGAAATGTGATGGTGACTATAGATAAGCCATTTGGGAAGTTTTTCTAGGAGTATTGGATCATTCGGAAAGCTTATTAAATCAAAGCCATAATAAGGAAGGATTTACCACCTTGCATAATTTAGTCCATCTTATGCATGCAGTGTCTGAGGCCTAGTGATTTTTGGCCCGGGGGGCAAGAACAAACGACTAGTCTTTAAAAAAAAGGATTATATATATATATATATATATATATATATATCTCTATGTCTATTTTTTTTGTTCCACATAAAACTTTTAGATATCTGTCAGTCTGTCGTGTTTACATTGTTTTTGTAATATATGGATATGGGTTTCATAGATGGAGGTTACTGTAGTACAGCCGTGCTGTATGAAGAAGTATTAACACATATATGTGTGCACGCGATCATAGCCTGGAAGTGTGTTTAGCCCCTGACACTGCAGAAATATCCCAATGGGCCACCAAACAAGGACAAACCTATAAGGGTTTTACTTAGAAAAGGCCTTACATAATTCCTGCCTGCTGCCTCCCTCTTGCAGTATTTGGCTGATAGACAATCCAACACACCACCCGCGGCTTTTAATCAGAAAATGAATGGTACTGTGCACACAATCCCCTCAAGCCAGTGGCATGTTGGCCCCCTTGCCAGCCCTCCCCTCACACAAGCCTTCAAGATGAATAAAAATTTCAAATAATTTTGTGTTCAAAATACAAGGAACTTTCTTCAACATACAGTATGTATAGTGTAATATTCCTAAAATGCATAAATGTTTCAAATATTTTTTTTCCAATTCTCTTTTTTTAAATAATACTTGAAGTGATTTGAAGGTAAAACCGAAAGGTTGGACATACGAACTACGGCCTCGATTTAATAAGAATTTCCAAACGACTGACTACTATTAGAAGTACTTTACAAATTATTTATCTATTGAACTTACCATTAACTTCTGTAGGAATTTTTGTAGATAATACATATGTAAGTTTTTCTAACAGTATCAAATCATTTGGAAGCTTATTAAATCGAGGCCTGTGTTTTGGTATTTATCAGGACGTACTACAAATTGCGAATGTAGCCTGCACACCGGTGCTTATGTCCAGTGAAAACAAAAATAGTCATGTGTGGGTGAGGGAAAGAGACCTGCCAGAAGGCATCCTGCTCTTCAGGAAAGTTATTCTTTTTCTGCCCATCCTGTGAGACCTGATAACCAGACTACGGATAACCGCAGACATTAAGCATGCTGAATTTCTGAAGCAGCATTTGATTGCATTATCAAACAGGCTTCAAAATGACAGAATTAGAATGTTTAAGGAATCTGGTGGAAAAGACTTGCAAGGCAGAGATTTTGTAATTTATCATTTCTTTTGCTTTTTACATTTTTTTTTTATCAATTACTATTATTTACTATAATTTTCTCCTTTATACTTAGAACATTTATGTAAATTACATTAATTTCGAATTATTGAAAAAAATATATAAAATGACATTATATGGCAAGTTCAATTATTTTTCATCCTTCTTTGGGCCACTGGTATTATAATCATGGTCTATGCGCTCAAGGAAAAGTTGGTGTTTGTAAGAAAAATAAAGTGTTACTACCCTAGAAAATGCTTATGCTACAGTAAACAGTACTTATAGTGATAATATCCTTAAGTCTTCCAGCTGCTCTTAAATAGCTGAAAGTACTTTTAATTGGATTAAGTAGCTGATCACATTGCTTAGGTGCTTCTGTTTTTATAGTATTCAGAATTAAACCAACAGGTCCAAGCTCATACAGAATTAAGTGTTTATATAGGGATACTTTGACATTTATGAATATTAACTAGACCAGGAATTGTTGGAAAACTGGCAATGGAATTACAAATATTTGGTCAAAAATTGGCAAGCAGGCATAAATTCCGAGATTTTTTTTTTGTAAACGCAACACAGTTCCTAGTTTTCTAACTCATCACATTAAGTACAAGTTAGAAGTACCTAAACTAGTAATCCAATCCAATAAAGACATCGTTTATAGACCACCCTAGATATCCAAGGATTGTCTTAATTTAGTCATTGAATGGCATATCAAATATATCAGATTGCTGTTGGCTCTTGATTAACCTGCTGCCAATCAAGTATTACTATTTTTAACCAACTTAATGATAATCCTTTTATCAACTGTTAAAGGAACACTATGGGCACGCAAACCATTTCTTCTCATTGAAGTGGCCTGGGGGCATTGTTCCTATCCCCCTTAGCCCTGCAATGTAAAACATTGCAATTTCAGAGAAACTATAATGTTTACATTGCAGGGTTAGGACAACCTCTAGTGTCTGTCTTCCAGACAGCCACAAGAGGCGCTTCCTTGCTTTTCACTGAGTTTAACTCCATGAAATGACGTTGGATGTCATCTCACTTTGCATGAGGATGTCCACCATCTTCAAATCCCCATAGGAAAGCATTGATTTAAGGCTTTTCTATAGGGAAGGTCTAATGTCCGTCCAGCTCTTGCCGGGTATGCGCATTAGTTACTTCATCAGCGTGACGTCCCTCGACGCTGGAAAGAGGTAATTAAAAAAAGAGTTTTAAATCCTTTAACCCCTTAAGGACCAAACTTCTGGAATAAAAGGGAATCATGACATGTCGCACATGTCATGTTCCCTTAAGGGGTTAATTACTGGGTAGGGGCGCAGAGGAACACTATAGCATTAGGAATACAATTTTGCATTCCTAATGCTATAGTGTTCCTTTAATGGATGAAATTTTAAAAGCCAGGATCATATTGGCAGTGAGCAGGTCTCCTAAGCAATGCATACTGCAAAAAATTCAAACCAGCAATTTAAAAACATTCAACAAAACTTTTTTTTGATAATAGTTAAAGGGACATTATAGTCAACAGAACAACTACAGCTCTTTGTAGTTGTTCTGGTGAGTGTTATAAGCCCCTGCAGGCATTTTCAGAGAAAAGGCAGTGTTTACATTACAGCCTAAGGAACCTCCAGTGACCACTCCTCAGATGACTACTAGAGGTGCTTTCTGGGTCAGTGCTGCCGTTCAGCATCTCCACACTCTGCATAGATTCAATGCATCTTCATGAGGAGATACTGATTGGCCTGGCTGGCCTTTGGCCCTGCGCCCACTCCGCCTCCTTAACTATTTTCCCTATTGATGAAGGCTGATGCTTGAGGAAGTCTGTCAGATAGCTCCCTGGGTGGCGATCTGCATGATGCCGACCTCCTAATCCTTCGGGGTTATGTAGCACTGAAACAGGTTCCGGTTTTAATCAAAGTAGGAGCTTTTGGGTTGTGCGTCAATCAGGAAGCAGACCACACTACTGTGCATGCGCAGTCAGAATTTAAAGTTTTGGTGGAAAATTTAAATTGTAATGAGCATATTTATGCCTTGCTGGCCTTTGACAGCAAGGATGCTTGTCAAAACATATGCACCGTGCCACAGGCTACCCCCCCTCGGTCCTGAGGTCGTTAAGATTAGATAAATATCTGTCTCCTGCTTAAAGGCTTCTAGCACAATTTTATTTTTATTTTACGCAATTTATTGTGTTTTTATTTTCCAGATGTCTAGCTCTGCCTTACCAGACAAACTGGAAAAAGCACATAAAAAGCCCACCTCTGCTCCTGAGAAGGCGTCATATAAATCTAAGCATTTAGCCTGTAGCTAAATAAATTTGACAAATTGTCTACCTCTACCTCAGATTATTTTCAGACAGGTTTCTGGACAGTCTCTCAAGCAAAAGGAAAAAAAAAATGTTCAAAAACATCCGCATGTGAGAACAGAAAGATCTAAATGAACAGGCAAAGACTTCAGAAAGTTCTGCAAAAGACTTGGAACAAGTCTTTGGCAAACAGGTTAGAGCAATTCAAGATTGATTGAACATCACAAAGAAAGGAGAATAAACAGCCAGGATTAATACACAAGTGAAGTCAAACTCAATGCTCCTGGCAAATAAACTATTCTCATGGCTCAGAATTAAATCACGTTCTGTGATTAAATACTGCAAAAGACATGTTGACTGAACTCAACGCATACAAAGCAAAGACTGCAAACACACTGACAGGAAAAACTTTGCCTTAGACTAATGTGATAAAATGCCTGAGCTGCTTTGTAAGGTGCTAAATCAATATTGCTGTCACCCTAATAAGCACAAAAAATAAATAAACTGACTGGAACGGGCAATAAGCAACACTTAACATCCTTGGTCCAAAGAGCAACAGTCAACTCTTCAAATAGCAGAAGGGTGACTATAACCCTGTGGCACTCAATTTTTATTTTCAACATTCCAGCAGATAGAAAATCTATATATTTTTTTAATACCAATTGGATTCGATATTTCTTTAGTGCCTATAACCAAACACAGTTATAATTTAACTTGACCCTGCACTATAGACACTCTAAGCATCATGGGAATACAAGAAACAACCCCCATCCCACCACAGTAACAAGCTAAACCACCACTTCCCTAAGGTACCAATTAATAATAAAACAAGCTTTCTACGCCTTATAGTGGAATGACAAAATGTACATATCTCTTTTTAAGGCATTCCTTACATCAGTCGTGATTGCACATGGAAACCATTATTTTAAGTGCTGTTATTTAATCTGACCTTAGATCTTAACAATGTCTGACCGTGATGGCCTTTTAAAAACATTTTTAATACAATTGTATATAAATTGTGTCATTGCACCCTATAAATTACATTTTATTTTTTTTAAATACACATCTCCATATGCTGTAACTGTAAACAAAGGCAAGCTGTGATCTTCTTTCATGCTGCCTCGCAGGTACCATACATCTAAGCATTATATATATATATATATATATATATATATATATATATACACATACATACACACACACACACACACACACACACACACACACACACACACGACATAGGAGCATTCTTCACTACCAGATGCCTAAAGAATATGAATCTGTGGTCTATGCATGACCCAAGAGTTCAGACCCATGACAAGAGGAAACCAAATACATATTATCCACAATGTTGAGGGCAATAATGCTAGATGGCAATTTATTAATTACGTAAAAAAAATACAAACTGAACAAAATCTAAAATGTATTTTTTAAGATTTAAAAAAAAAAAAAAAATTGAGAGTCAAGCTACCTCTAAAAATCGCATGCCATAATTTACGATATGCTTTGTTCTGTATTACACAATGTATAGTACTGTGAAATATGGTGCATTGTATTGTTATTATTAATAATGATAATAAAATAGTCTATAAACGAAAAATGATTCCATAGAACAGATGTTTGCTTTTCTTCCAAAGTGAACACAAAACACTTCTACTGACTGTTTTTAATTTTCATAATGCCTGTCCAAGAAACACACAAACTTCTGAAAATATTTGGAGCATCAAAATTTATGAAGTATATCCAATTTCTAACAATCATAATTTACACAAGCATTCCTTGTCTCAGAAAGTTATGAGTATAGAGTATAAACAGTCATATGTCTTTGTTAGTAGTAGAATAATGAAATATACCCTAAATTCGAATGCAAAAAAACCACCACAGTACTGTATGGATGTAATGGGGTTAACACAGCATCATAAATGCTCATTTAGTTGATCCTAGTTGATATTCAATCAAACATTGATTATTATTATAAACTGATAAAATAACGAATTGACAAACTTCTTGCAATAATTTAGCCACAAAAAGCAAAGTGAAAAAAAAAAAATCCCAACTATTTTTCTCCAAGTATGCTATTCTGAGCTTAATTTCCAGAGTTGTATTATTGCATGCGCATTCCAATATTTAGTGGATAGATTCCTTCCACAACAGACTGTCTTTCTGAAGAGACAATCTGCATTTATTACAAAATAATATAACCAAAACAAAAGGTAAAGTCAACAAATTAATAAAAAACCACAACAAACAAAAAACACAATGGCAGCTGGTGACATCCATTACCTACTACCTATGGATCACCTGCTGCAGACCCTGGTCCCACTCACATCACACACTGAACCATAAAGGCATGAACTGATGACTGGATGTTGGTACATTTACAAAATCCATACCCTATCACCCAAAATAAGATGACAAATCTCATTAGTGGATTTATATTATGATTTGTAGGTGTCTTGACATAAATCAGTTAACTATTGAAAAGCACGTCCATTGGTCACAGCTCTGAACACACACATAAAGATGGTTTTAGCAGCATTTAACCCTTAGTCAATCCACATTTGGTAAAATTCACTCCAGTTACTTTGCTCACTTTGGTGGTATTAAACCACTTACCCAGCAAACCTCCCATCGAGAACAGGCACGCGGTGATCACACTGAGCATTGTACATAGCTCCATCTTTCCTCTGAGCAGAGACCCAGCAACAAGTTTTAATATCCAGATCCAATCAGATGCAGATGCTGCACTCGAAGCTGATACAAAGTAGCAAGTAGATCTTTCTGTTGCAGATTGGAACCAGGAAGGTAACAGCAAAACTCTCAGGGTTTCACAGCTCCCACAGGCTCAGCCATCCCACTCTAGCTCAGCATTAGGCAAGCAATGATCTGGCACAGTGACTCTATGGCACCGTACTTGTCTTGTCTCTAGCTGTGAATGAGCTATTTTCCTATTCTCTGTGCTATAAGGATAGGGGGCGTGCTGGAGCAGGAGGAGGGGGCGTCACAACCCAGGCGAGCAGCTCATCTTCAGCCAGCAGCTCTGGTCAAAGACAGCTCTGCTTTGTAACTTCCGCCAGTTGTACTCTACTATATCTAGCTCTTTTTATATGGACTGTGATGGAGGCAGAAAACATAAAATACATAAACATAAAGGTCTTGAATTCCTATATTTTTTTTGTTTTACCCAAACAGCAATGATGTATTATCTGTATGTAAAATAATGGTCAAGTTAAAAATGAAATGTATATCAACTTAGAGCATTTTGCACCTTTTTTGAAATCAAACAGGTACCAAGGTTTGCAATAAAACATTGATTAAAATCAATTGGGAATTTAAACTTTTATTACACGTTTATTATGTTAAACACTTGGTGTACCATGGTTTGGAGACTAATCTAGCAACTTGTGAAACGTACAATTACAATTGTATCGTACATTAAAGTAATTATCCCTCATTCATCTTGCAGAACGTATGGTGAGTATAATTATTTTACCCTAAAATTACCCTAAAATAATGTATATAGGCTCTGAAAAATTAGTATTGAAGCACATTTTTGTAACCTACAGCAGACGGAAACATAATAATAATTAAAAAAAAAAAGGTTGAAAATACCCTGGTTATAGTTAAAGGAATGCTCAGCACATTTCATTAGGGTGTGCACCCAGGGATATTTTTTTAGAATGCTGTGTGTGAGTGAGGTTACTTTGCTTTGTGTAGGTGTGGGGTGGCTGTAAGTGTTGTATCTATCTGTGTGTCATGTGTGAGTATGAGAGTGATATGTTTGGGTAAAGTTTAGTGATATAAGTGGCAGTGCATGATGTGTGGGTAGCTGTGAGTGATGTATGTAGATATCTATGAGTGAATAGTATTGATGTGTGTTGCTGTGTGTGGGTAACGTTGAGGGCCCTGTGGGCAGATAGGGTGCTGTGAGTGAGTGGGGAAGCTGGGATGAGAGTGAAAAGAATAGGGAGAGAACATTAGGTATGGGAGTGATACGAGTGGGAATGGAAGTAATGGTTGGGAGTGATAGGAGGTTGCGGAGAAGAAAGGATGAGTTAGAGTGATCAGAGGATGGGGTGAGAGGCAGGGGTGTATCGGGGTGGCTGGGAGTAATGGGAAGAGGGAGGAAGAGATGGTTAGGTGTGATAGGATTAAAAGAGAGAAAGGCATATGTTTGGAGTGGTAGGTGGATGACGTGAGAAGGAAAGAGGAGAGGAAGGGATGGGTGGGAGTGATAGGAGGATGAAATTGAGATGAAGGGATGAGTGGGAGTGATAAAAGGATGGGAAGAGAGGACAGCATGGGTAGGACTGATAGGAAGATGTAGGGTAAGGGAGGGCTAGGTAGGGGTGATATGAGTATGGGGTGAAAGGGAGGGAGGCTGGCTGGCAGTGATAGGAGTATGGGGTGAGAGGAAGGGATGGTTGGGAGTGATGAGAGGAGAGAAGGAGAGGAGGATGGGTTTCGGGTGATATGAGGAAGGAGGGACAGGGCTGGGTGACAAAGAAGGGAGTGGGGGCGAGATGAGTTGCAGTGATAGGAGGAGGGATATGAAGAAAGAAAGAAAAAAAACCTATTTTTTCACTTCTCCATGTTACTTTATAAGTTACGATTTAAAAAAAAATGTTATTTCTTTATTTTTCAAGTCGAGTTAAAATGAGAACAGTTAGAACATAAGCTAAGGTTTTTCAAAAAGGCCCCCTATAAGAAAAAAGTTTTTTAAAAAAGTGCATTTAAACTTATTTGAAGTCTAGCAGAGAGACAAACTTCTCACTGCAGCCCTATGTAAGTTTGCCATATGCACCAAAATCACATAATTAAAGTGAACAGATTCACTTTAACAGAAATCCCCCCCATATAATTCATTCTAGACATAAATTACAATAGTTGAAATGGTGTGGCACTCTTGGGAAAGAGATATAGGAACTCTGTAGTAGAGGTCCGCCACCTCTCAATCGGGAGAATATAAAGCAAAATCCATGGGTTCAACAGGTAGGATGTAAGTGCAATTTATTTAGGCAGTGAACACAACAAAGTAGGACGTTTCAGCCCAATGGCCTTAATAATGTATGTACATTAATATGGCCATTGGGTTGAAACATCATGTTTTGATTTGTTTGCTGCCTAAATAAATTGCACTTTGCATCCTACCTATGGATTTTGCTGCCCCCATCAGAAATATGCATTACAGATAATGAGAATAGCAATATACCGCTCCCCACCAGACCCCTGGACATGTTTTGAAATGTGTAACAGCATAACTGAAATAAAGCAATATTAAGAATTGTCCACCTTAGGCCCCCACTGATGCTGTATTTATTTTTAACATTTTTTTAATATAAATCTCTTGTTCCCTAGTAAGAAAGTCAATACCAATCAAGATTGCTAAACTGCTCTCTCTATGCATCAGTAACCTGCAAATTGGGTTCCGTCCCCCCTCCCCTGCTGAGCCATTAAACTAGGATTCCCCTTTTTTTCCATATGTAGAAAACAATATACAAACTATATACATACTATCTACTATTTATGGAATGGGGTGTGTGATAATTCACCAACCTATTCTACCAACTCCTTTTTTTATTTTAATTCCCCCCTCCTCCCCTTGTTTTGTGGGGTTTTAATCGAGCTGTACCCGTGTGGGCCTAAAGTATATTTGTTCCTGAAAGGATTTGCCTAAGCTACCTCCCAAGTGCTTATTTTAGTGGGTCAAGGTGGATAACTCTTCTTTATACCTTTTATCTATCTTCTGCCCCCTTTGAGTTCTTCCTCCCCTCTAATGTTTTTTCTCCTCTCTCTTTTCTTCACAGTAGATTCCAGGACCATGACCCTCTTCCTCTGAAAAGAAAAGATGAGGTTCAGATAATAAAACTATTTACAGCGGTTCAACTTAAGAGAAAATTGTGGGATGTGGGGTTAAGTATTAACAATGGTACAGGTATTTTATCCATTTTTGGATCAACAGAATACATAGCTCTTGAACCCAAATTCTAACTTCCGTCGTCTTTTGTTTGCTTTGTGGTTTGTATGTGTTAATGCTAAAACATTAAATTTTTTGTAATAATACATTAACATATTTCAATTTGGTAGGTGTATGTGGTAGATGGGGTATCTCATATTGGTATACAGTACAACATTTTCACCCTTATTCCCATCCTGGTCCAGATTCAGCTTGATGGTAAGCTTGTGCTGATGATATAGTTCAGTATCTCCAATGATAGTTAGGACTGTTAATATGAGCTGTGTGGCCATGATGTAGCCTTGGTTCCTACAGGATTGTGGCTCTGTCTCCCACTTCCAACCAGTTCCTAGGTAGGCTTCGTGCCTGGGGAGGAGTACCGTTTCCTCCAGTGTGCTCCCCAGTTCGTGTAGGAATTGGCATGGATCATTACCATGTTGTAAGGCTTTGGTTTTGCCCTCATGGAAGACAAATATTTTAAAATGCGTGTCCCCAGACAAATCTGATGTGTTAAAGGACATCTGTTATAGGTCTCCATTCCTTCCTTCGCTGTTAGGTTTGATATTATATAGGGGTATTCCTGCTGTACCACAGGAGAGCCTTCATCATCTGGAAGTAATGAAAGCTGATGATGACATCTCTGGGTGTTGCATTTAGAGTTCGGCAGACCTTCAGGGTGGGTTGGACCCTGTCGATTTTCCATAGGTGATCTGGGAGGTCAGGTAGCTGTGGTTTTAAAAATGGAAGTGATGGTGTCTTGGAAGTAGCCCTCTCCTTCCCAGCTTAGGTAAGCCACTTTAGCCAGAGATCATTTTGCCTTGAGCGATTGCTGAGATATTCCAGCATGGTTTCTACATGTTCCATTCCTTGCACCAAGGTATTTGTGTGGGGAGTTCACATCTCCATGTGTCTTTTTGCAGATAGTGGGCAAGTTATAAATCTCTGTTGTGCAGATTACAAGTGCATTTCTCGGTCTGGCTGTGAAGGAGCTACAGTATTATGCGACCATCTTTGACTCTGGTCAGCTAAAATATATATTTTTAAGTGAATAGATGTATATTATAATGTATTTACATTGGTTATTAAATCTATTGTATTTGATTAATTAATTGTTATTTAATGCATTTACCTGATGGTTGTTTGTGCTTGTATGTGCCAGGGGGCAAATATTTCTGTAGGTTTGCTTGCAAAAACAGGTGAATTTATTGAACTGTTCCGAGTGATTAAATTAACTAGTTGTGAATAAATTAACCTTTAGTAATTATGAAAATTGCAAGTTCAGTTTGAATTTGGTGATTTTGACCAGATTTTGCAATCCAAAACTATAAGCCAGAATTTGAAGACTCATCCTAGAATACTAAGAATCGTCCCATTCAGAATCAGAACATGAGAATCTGCAAAACTGTTTCACTCTGAGTTATTCACCAGACTTTAATTTGTAATGAATTAAAACACAATTGGCAAAATGTAGGCAAAAACAACTGATCTGAAAAAAATCTCCACATTGGCTATAGTCAGGTCTGAATTTTCCTCTTGGATTTTAATTCAGAGTTTTAATTGAATAACCTTGTGAGATCCTGAAAATTTGTTAATTTTAATGTACCAATCTACCCATTGACACGAAATCCATGGAAATTTGTATATTCACTAGGAGTCCCTGACAATTTAACCATCCATATGGAAACCTTAAGAAGATGCCCATTCACACTGAAACCATTCACCGCCAGATACAGAGTGATTCTTCCATTTCATTCTAACATTTACCCTGAGAATCTGACTATTTCCCTAAGAATCTACCTTAAACACAGAATATGACAGTTTACCCAAAAAGCTGTTATTCTTTTATGAAGACACAATAATATACCTAACCTCCACTTGAAAAAGCCTCTGAGGCGAAACGCGTTGTGGCTATTATAAGCTGTTAAAATAAAGGTATTTTGGCTTATATTACACTCTCCTTGTGTGCCATTTTACTCTTTCTTTTACATTTTATTCTATTATTTTTTTTATAATGCCTGGCACCTGTATTTTTATCACCAGTGATCACTACTCTTAAGTAGTGGGGATTATACCACCCATGCCCTATCAATTGAGCTGTTCGCCTGCTTTGGTACATGTGAGTACGTTCTTCATTTATTTTAACCTATTATTATTTTAAACAGAAAGCACTATTGTGTTTCTTCTTTTATCTTTTTATATTTTATGGTCCTCACACCACCAAGACATCACTCTCATGTATCCTTGCAAGTGGGGATTGTACCACTGTACGCCATTCATACTGGAGCTAGAATATCTTATTCCTTTTATCAGCTCCTAATAAGAGCATACTACCCTATTATTTCTTCTCCTCTCTGTTATTTCATACAGTCCAAAAGCTGAATCCAACCAGACACGCCCATAGAAGATTCACGCAGATACCCAGTTGGACCAGCACTACTTACACGTGAATTCCCCTATTACCACTGTGGACTTTCATATATTGAATTTCTTGTCTGTATCCCACTCAGGACTAAATCATTCCCATTTATTTGTGGACTATACTATTGTTTTTACTTTTCTATTTCTTTATATTGTGGCGCTACCCTTATCTTGCTTTGTTTTTTGTGTCTCATCCATATAAGTAGGACTAGAGGGATTCCTATTTTGGAGTTAGCTGCCGCCTAGATAGCCTGTTTTAGCCAGATACTTTAGCGCTTTTTCTTCCCCTCCAAACATTGTAATATACCTATATTCTCATTGCACCTTGACTGCACCACACCATTTCTTTCTTTGTTTATATATATCACGGTTTTCAGAGTTTACTGGGGTGTTGGTGTTCAGGGTGAACACTACTGTCATTTATATATTTTTACAATAATATACCTATTCACTTTCAGTCTCTATCCATTCAGTTGGAGACCAAAGGAAATGATCAATTTTCTTGCTCCATCTCCCAGTGACTCTAAAAATTTAACCATTCCCCATTGATGTTATACCCATCTATCCTGAACAGGGCATCTGCCCAATTTGGCCTTAGAATCTGTACCTTCATAAGGGAGCCTGAGATAGCAAGCTACCATTCTCTCCCTGACCTTAATAAATCACCTGTTCAGGTTTAGACCATGAGAACCTGTATCTTCTCTTTGACAACTTGCTTTATCCATATGTGCCCTTAAAGGGATTCTATAGTGTTAGAAATACAAATCTGTATTCATAACACTACAATGCCCTATGGTGCCCCCTCCCTTGCGCTCCCCCATGACATATACATGGTTAAAAAAAAAACTTTAGTCACTTACCCGATTCCAGTGCCGATGTTCCTTGGTGCTGGGTTGGCGCTTCGCCTCCTCCATTCTAATCTGAGGGGGGGAGCTAATGCAAAAGAGTGGCAAGTGCTGCAAGTGCATTATGCTCTTCCCACAGGAAAGCATTGCTTCAATGCTTTCCTATGGAGATTTTACTGACACTGGATGTCCTCATGCAGAGCGTGAGGACGTCCATCATCAAGGGACCAAAAGCGCGTTAGCCATCATGAATCCCTGTAGTAGCTATCTGATTGATAGCCACTAGAGGAAGTCTTAGTCCTGCGATGTAATTACTGCGGTTTCTTAAAAATGGCAATGACTTACATTGCAGGACTAAGTGGGACAGGGACCCCATGCCCAGACGACATCAATGAGATGAAGTGGTCTGAGTGACTATAGAGTCCCTTTAAAAACATTGTGTTTCACCCTGTGACACTAACATACTGATCTATCCTGATAGTATAATATGTTTCATTATATTCCATGAATGTGCACATTTTCCATAGTAATTTTATATAGAGAATCCTTCCATTCACTCCAAGAATCTGCACACTGACCCTAACACTCTAACATGCTGTTCAATAAGAACTTGTTCATTTGATCAATGAATGTCCATTTGCCTCTGATTTTTCAGTTCATTTTGAGATCTGGGACATCTACTATTGCAATCTAAGAATCTGCTCTTCACTCTGGAACCTTCAAAATCTACATTTCAATCACACACTTAACAGGTGAAGCACACCCTTCTCTCTCCACATCAAACATATGCAGAAGATCAGAGGAGGAAGATTTAAGATGTGTGTATTTAGGGAGGAGGGGTAAGTAATTTAGGACAGGTGTTATTAAAAAGTCCAAGTCTCAATATGTCATTTGAACTTTTAAATGTTTGCGATACAGCAAAAGTATATTTTTCCTTATATTTTTTATGTTTTTTTTAAATTTTAATTTCCCAGGTGTGGACATCTTTTCCATTCTTCTATACCATCTTCTACATATATATGTTGAGTAGTGGCGTCTCTAGGATTCATTTTTAGGGGGGGCACATGGTGGGCCAGGGACAAAAGTAGGGGGCACATTTAACCCCGCCCTCGCCGCAGTTTGACCTCTCCCCTGAAGCATGTTAAGCCCTGCCCCCGACACAATGTGTTTTTTTTTTTTTTTAATCCCTGGTGGAGGATTCATTATTTTCCACCAGGGATTATTAAAAAACAAACACATTTTCCTTGATACAGTATCATAGTTGCCAACATTTGAAAAAAAATTCCAAAGACATTTTGCAGCACAGCTATCAATTACTGTCTGTGTATAATATCCCTGGACAGTCAGTGTTCTCTGTATAATACAGGGTTGTGTGTATAATAAATTGGGACAGTCAGTGATCCCTGTATAGTGCTGCTCTCTGTATAATACAGGGCTGTGTGTATAATATCCCAGGACAGTCAGTGCTCCTTGTATAGTGCTGCTCTCTGTGTAATACAGCTCTGTTTGTGTATAATATCCCAAGACAGAGAGCAGCACTATACAGGGAACACTGACTGTCCCAGGCTATTATACAGACACAGACCTGTATTATACAGAGAACAGCACTATAGTAATATACAGATAGCTGAGCATATACCCCATGTCCCAATCTCTAGACGACAGTACCTGTCAACAGCAGCTCCCAGATGCGTGTAACAGGGCTAAAGTGTGCGGCAGCTCACACAGATGATTCAGCTGTAAAGCCACTCGCTGGCAAAGCCAAACTGGGAATCCAAAGCAGGCCTACAAGTCAATATACACAGACTGCTGAGTCCATACACACACACACACACACACACACACACACACACACAGACACACAGATTGTTGAGTCCATACACACACACAGACTGCTGAGTTCATACACACACACACATACACACACACACACACACACACACACACAGACTGCTGACTCCATGCAGACACACAGACTGCTGAGTCCATACACACACACAGACTGCTGAGTCCATACACACTAGGGATTGACCAATATTGATTTTTTTAGAGCCGATACGATAATCTGTGAACTTTGAAGCTGATAGCCGATAACTTGCCGATATTCTGTTCATTTACCATTTTGAAAAAATACAACTATTTCTAAAGGTAAATGCTCAAAATATACATGCCACATGTAGTGGATGCAGTGTGTTTAGACAGGGGAGCTGTGTGTGTTTGTGTAGTGGATGCACTGTGTATATAATGAATGCAAAGTGTGTGTGTATATAATGCAGAGTGTGTGTGTTTGTGTAGTGTGTGTTTATAATGTAGAGTGTGTGTGTGTTTGTATAGTGTCTGTATATAATGAATACAGAGTGTGTGTGTTTGTATAGTGTGTGTATATAATGAATGCAGAGTGTGTGTGTTTGTATAGTGTGTGTATATAATGAATGCAGAG